TCTGACTATATGATAATGTCTAGTGACAACTGATAAATATCTAGCCAAAATTAGTGAATGGCTTCTGCTTCGAACTGGCTCACAGCCTGAAAGACACCGAAGGAATAGTCCAGTGTCTGTGGCATCTGCCGGAATCTGTGCTGAGCCCCAAACACAAGCTGAGGGTTGGGGAGGGCTCGGGAGAGGCTGGGGACTTTTAGCTCCAGGGGTTCAGGGTTTCAGGTTTGAATTGGCAGCCCAAGCCAGCACCTCCCTCAGCCCAAACCAAAAGCCAACCACCAACCCGAAAACCATACTGAACTCGACTCCCGCCCAAATTTAGTTAGGGGTTTTTGAGAAACCAACCCTTCAGCTGATCAGACGCTACCAACCAAGAACACCCCTGAGCTCCACTGCCGCTCTCCCTGCTGGCAGGTGGTCCGGATGGCCACTCAATGGCCACGGGGAGCTGTGCAACAGCGAATTGGGTAGGTGGAGGGCGGGAGGGTGAACCGAACGAATTAGCAGCTAATTCGCTCGGTTTGATTTTTTGCTGGTGCTAGGAGGTTGAACTGCGAACCGAAGAATTAGCAGCTAATTCGTTTGGTTTTGACCTAACTCGTTGCGACGAGCCTGAACTGAACTGCGAACCGAACGAATTTCAACGAAATGGCCATGGGGAGCTGTGCAACAGCGAATTGGGTAGGTGGAGGGCGGGAGGGTGAACCGAACGAATTAGCAGCTAATTCGCTCGGTTTGATTTTTTGCTGGTGCTAGGAGGCTGAATTGCGAACCGAAGAATTAGCAGCTAATTCGTTTGGTTTTGACCTAACTCGTTGCGACGAGCCTGAACTGAACTGCGAACCGAACGAATTTCGACGAATTAGCAGCGAATTCGCTGGGCGATCGAGGCTCAACCGTGGGGTGACCGAACAAATTAACAGCTAATTCATTTGGTTTGATTTTTGCTGGGAAAAGGTGTGGGGCGAAGTGACCTATTAAGAATAGCAGACAAATTAGCAGCTAAGTTCACTTGGTTGAGGTTAGGGGGCCCCCCCCCCACCCATCCCGCCCCTCCTGGCCAGGGCCCATTGCTTGGGGGCTGCCCCCCCACCCACCCCGCCCTCCTGGCCGGGAACCCAGGGTTGGTCCCGAGTAGTTTTTAATCCTTCCCCCGAATACTAAAACCCCATCGGGGTGCAAAACCCTAAAACCTGAAATCCGAAGCCTAAAAACCGAGAGTACAGGGTTTTGGGTTTGGGGTTTAAACTTTAGGGCTCAGTTAGGGTTTAGCCTCAAACCCTAATTAACCTGTCTGAGCTTGAGCCCTAAACCCTGAAAATCCTATCCCGAACCCTAATGGCTGGCTCAACTCAAGGGCGGGGAACCCAGGGGTGAAGGCAACGAACCAGAATGAATCGGCAGCTAATTCGCTTGGGTGGCTCATTCGCTTGGGGGGTGGGTTTCCTGCCTTTTGTTCTTTAGGCTTTAGGTGTGCGACGGAACCAAATTAGCGAGATTTAGCTGCGACGTAAAAAGCGGAATAAAGGTATCGGGTTTAGATTTAGCGACGACGGAAAATCCAAAACAATTAGTGTGAATTATTATAAATTGTGCAGATGAATGCCCCTATTAGGGTACTTAAGGGGCATATAACTGGGTTATAACTACACTTATATCTGGGTTACCAAGTAGTACCCTGCACCTCGAAGTAGGCAGAGCATTCTCTGTTTCAAGGGCACCCTGGCTCCCAGAAGAATGATGGGCTCCCAAGCAAGGGCACACCCTTGAAACCGTTTTCGGGTGTTTTTTTTTCCCACCTTTTTTCGGGTGTTTGGGGATTTTAGGGTTCAGAGTTTCGGGTTGAGGGCTAAACTTACTAGCCGGGATTGTCTATCCTGAAATACTTCCCCTCCCCCCCCCCCCCCCCAAAAAAAAAAAAACCCTAAACCCTAAACCCTTAAACCGAGAGGGCCCGTCCTCTGCACCCTGTGGTCATGGCCCAGGTTTCGAGAGAAGGTTGCGCCGCTAGTGGTGCCCTGGCCAGACTTGTCGAGAGGAGTTCTTTGGGTTATAGGGTTATAGGGTTTAGGGTTTAGGGTTAGGGTTTAGGGTTTAGGGTGCTACACCCCACAGACTCGAAACCCTTCAAGAAGCCCTAAAGGCCCGGAACCCCAAATCCCAGAGAACCCTGACGTAGCCCTAAACCCTAAACCCTAAACCCTACATAAGCCCAGGGCAACATGGAAGCTATTATGTGTGTGGTGGTGCAAAAGGTGTAGCTTCAGGGGGGCTCTTAGGTCTTCAGGTTTGAGGGCTTTGGGGCGTTGAGGGGTTCAGGGGTTTCCGCTCGGGAGGCCCTCCTGGTTCCTAGTTGGGTTTAGGGTTCAGGGTTTAGGGTTTAGGGTTTAGGGTTTAGGGTTTGCGGTTTGCGGTTTAGGGTTTAGGGTCTAGGGTTTGGGGTTTAGGGTTCAGGGTTTAGTGTTTAGGGTTTAGGGTTACGAACCAACAGTTCCCTTCTATCACCAAGAGGGCCAGCAAGTACATCCGGTACCCCAAAGTCTATTGCCTAAACCCTAAACCCCAAAATGAAACCGTAGACCTCGCCATGAATGCCCCGCCCGGCAGGGGCATAGGGGTGAGGGTGTGCATCCTCTGTGCCGTTGCGCGCTGGCTTGAAAAAACCGCAACCGCGGCCTACAAACTGCACCCAGCGCTGCCAAATTACATTTCTTCCAGCATGTCGGATGAAGACATCGAGCCTCCACGCAGTCTCCGGGCCCGGCGCCGGATGCCGAAGCTTCCCTCGCAAGCTGGCGCGACTGCCCCGCACCTGGTGCTACTCCCGAAGCAGGCCGCTTGGTGCCGGGAGTGCAGTCTGCGTCTCGCTGGAAGGACCGGACGTGCTTTGTAGTTGCCCGACGTGATGTAGTCTTGAACCTGTTTAACATTTGTTAGATTATGAAAATTTTCTGAGCTCACTCAATCAGGAGCGACTGGGAAACGCAGAGATTCTTGAATCCTAAACCCTACAAACCCCGCAACCCTCAACCCCAAAAGAGCCCTTAAGCCCTAAAGCACACAGGTGCACAAGCACAAAAGAAGCCCCAGACTCCTTCATTCCTTCCCTAGACTCCCTAAATACCCTGAACCCTAAACCCTTAGGCCCTAAACCCCTAAACCCCTAAACCCCTAAACCCCTAAACCCCTAAACCCCTAAACCCCTAAACCCTAAACCCTAAAACCCTGCATTCACCCCAAGACCCGGAGACCCCAAGGCCCTAAGCCCTCAACTCATCAGGCCTAAATCCAAAGACTTAAGCCTTCCACCCCGAAGCGCCCCCACAAAGCCACTGGAAGGTTCGTGTGCACTTAGAAGATTAGGGTATTAGGGTTTAGGGTTTAAGCAGGCGGGTAAAGTTCCTAAGTAGGGTTATTGTCTTATTGTCGTAGTTACCCTAGGTATAAGCCGACATACAAGTACCCCTAAGCCCTAAATCGTAAACCCTAAGCCCTGAACCCTAAACCTCCAAGGCGCATCTCTTTGCATCACCAGACCGGGCCATTCGATTTCGATTGCTGGGTCCTTAGAAGGCCACAACTGAACTGGTTCTTCCGGGTTTGGGGTTTAGGGTTTGGGGTTTAGGGTTTCGGGTGTGGCTTGAGGGTTCATGGGGTTGCTGCGAGGGTTCATGGTTTTTGGCTTTAGTGGTTGTAGGGTCAACCAGCTACGTGTACCTAAAAAGTATATACTTGTTTTCCAGGGTCTACTCTTTATATAGTTGAAACAAATAGGGGTACTTAGGTAATTGGGAAATGCGGCCTCCGCTTAAGACACCGCCCCCCACGCTCAAGAGCGGAAACTTTGGTGCTCTAAAATTCCAAGCTCTGCCCCAGGAATTTTGCTATTATTGTCTCCTGAATGGGTTTGGGGTGTAGGGTTTAGATTGTAGGGTTTCGGGTTTAGGTTTCAGGGTTTAGGGTTTAGGGTCCAGTGGGACGTTGCCCTAAGCCCTAAACCCTAAACCTGAAGCCTTTAGGACGCCCAGCCGTGATGTGGCCAACATGGGTTTCGGGTTGTGGGTTTTAGGGTCCCAGTGGGCATGCGGAGACATGCAGCTTCTCTTGTATCTGCCACTTTCTTGGCCTCAGATATGAGCGCTGCTTCGGGTGAAGAAGCTTAGGGGAAACTCACCAGGTTTTTCGTGTGCCAATAGGGGGCATGATGGAAGGGCTACTGGGCCCTGATAAATGCCTGCGGGGCCTTGCGTTGAGAGCTTTTGAGTCTGCGTGGCTGTGCCTCTTTTGACTGTTTATTGGGGTTCAGGGTTCGGCTTATCTGCTTTCCCCCAAAACTTAAACCCTATAAATTATAAACTCTCAACCCTAAAGCCCTCAACCAAGGGGATGGGGGGGGGGTTAGGATTCTCTCCTGTATTCGCGATTTAGGGCATCAGAACCTTGGGATTAGTTCTTAGATGATGATGATGATGATGATGATGATGATGATCTTTTTGTTCGTGAGGGAATGGGCACCCGAAGAGGCACAAATGTAGGGAGCACCGATTTTTTGTTTTTGCAACTGGACCGTGGGTCACCTGCGTGTGCGTGCGCTTGAGCCCGAAGCCCTAAAACAAGAGGCCTACAACCCCAACCCCCAAGCCCTAAGCCCACAAACCTAACCTGTAACACATCCGAACCCAAGCAGCCTGGAGCCATTCTTACAGTTGGTTAGCAGGATTTTGTGGTATCTCCATACCTGCCTGCTTCTAGCTACCCATGAACCTTCAAGTCAAGGCCTTAAACCCTAAACCCCACCATGTGCAAAACATGGGCTTGGGGTTCAACCCTAGACCCTCCTTAAACCCTAATCCCTAGTCCCTAAACCCGAAACCCTAAACCTTAAACCCTAAACCCTAAACCCTAAACCCCAGCCCTAAACCGTTCTGGGTTTCAGGTTTAGAGATTCCCTCGTCACCCACGAAAACGAACCACAGCCCAGGCTCACGTCCCTCGGGGACATGATCGAGTTTCTGGCCGGGCTCCCCACATCCAACCAGCAGGGGCAAGTTCGACTTAATTTGGGGGGGTTTTCTGGGTCCTGGCAAGTAGGGTTTAGGGTTTAGGGTTTAGGGTTTAGGGTTTAGGGTTTAGGGTTTAGGGTTTAGGGTTTAGGGTTTAGGGTTTAGGGTTAGGGTTTACGGTTTCCCCCCTTGATGAGTTGAAGGCCTTCAGTGACTCAGTCAGACGAAGGAATCCAGATCTCGCTAAAGTCATACACACGATTCACCCTACGTTCTTCTGAGCTTTTTCGCAACTTCACTGTCAGGGGGGGTTGGTCTACACTCGCCCTCTGTTGGCACTTTGAGATTCAAGGAACAGACGCGAAAGGGCCGAATATTCGGATCATTCCCCACATGCGGTGGGTTTCCGAAATAGGGGGTACCCTCCCATTTTGGTCTTGGAAGGGGCGCCCGTATGCTGGGAAAGGCCCATACGGTCAGTTCTGGGGTCCCTTTTTGGGGTACCCCTACATCGTAGGGGCCACCTTACAATAAGGACCCACCATAATTTTTACAGGTTGTGCAGTGTTTGCTGGTTACTGTGGGGGGTCGGGGGCTCACGGTTTGAGGGCCTGTTTAGGGTCTTGACCCACAAACACCCAGGATGATGCCCTGATCAACGACAAGATCTTCCCCGAGTGCGCGGGCGCCCCAGTCCCCAAACCCCAACCCCAAACCCTAAACCCGAAACCCTAAACCCTAGACCCTTCCCTTGCCCACTCGGTGACCTTTGCCAGGTCAATGGCTTCAATGACTCCAATGGCCCAATCCGGGAGGCCGCTGGCAGATGTAGGGTTTGGGGTTTAGGGTTTAGGGTTTAGAGTCTAGGGTTTAGGGTTTGGGGTCTAGGGTTTAGGGTTTACCATATATCAAAACTCTTTTAAGGATGAGCCCCGACACCCTATACTTGGAGGTGCGTGGGTGGAGGTACGTGGGCACGTATTCATAGGGTTGTAAGCAATGTATCTATGGTTATATTTAGGGCGCTTCTCACCTTACTGGCAAGTACCCGTGAACCTTCAAGCAAACCCTCGCTTGATGCTTCAAATTGTGTATCTAAGCTTGGTGGTGGTGGTGGTTTGCGCCCCTGTTGGGAAGAAGGCAGATGAGGAGACTGCGAGAAACATTCGCCGTAATGCCTTAGAGGGTCTTAGGGGCTCGGGGCTGGAGGTTGGGACCTACAAGGTTCAGGGTTAGGTTCGCGGGAATATGGTTTTAGCTAAAGCCCTAAACTTTATAGACCCGACATTGGCACCCTAACGCCCTAAAACCCTAAGCTTTACAGGCCCTACAACCCTGAGGCTGCTGAGTCCCCAGGCTTGAAACCATCATAAAAAAAAAAAAAAACGCTTTTTAAACCCTGACCCTAAAGCCTAAACCCTAATCCTAAACCCTAAACCCGAAACCCTAAACCCTAAACCCCTTTTGAACACCCTAACCCTTGAAACCACCAGACCTCTCCGAGCATACTTCGGTACGTCAGCGTGCCCCCCCCCCCCCCCCCTCCCCGCTCACTTGGACGTTCAGGGTACTTATCACCCAACTAGAAGTGTAGTTATATCCCACTTAAACGCCCCTGAAGTACCATGAACAGGGTCATATTTTGGGATGTTAGTACAGCTCTAATTGGGTTACTAAGTACCATGAACCTCCCTTGCACAGGCAACCGTCAAGTCTGGACCTGAGCCTTTTCCCAGGATTTCGGATTAAGGGTTTAGGGTTCAGAATTTAGGGTTTAGGGAGTTTAGGTTTCATAGAGACTAGGGTTCAGAATTTAGGGTTTAGGGAGTTTAGGTTTCATTCTTCTGGTGTTGAGGTGTGGTCGTCTAGGTATCGAGGGCCTTGGGGCGCATTGCACGTTTCCCTCTAAACCCCAAACCCCAAACGGGCCTGCTTACGGAATCTTTTCAGAAATTCTGTTCAAGGAGCAACTTGGTACAGAATTGGGGCATGGGCACTAGGGCTTACTTGCGGGTTCATGGGTATTTCTAAGTTGGGTTAGAAGTACCCTAAATGAAGGTTATATCTACAGTCACCCGAATTCTAACCCGACTGATACGTGCACGTGAGCCGACAAGTGGGGGAAAATGCCACCCTAAACCCTAAACCCGCGGGCTTAAGCCCCCATGAGCCCACCTCCAAAACCCTGACGTACCCACCAACCCGCCCCCCAACACATCACAGTGGATGGAGAGGGCGGGGGGCGGGGGGGTGTTGGAATGTGTTTTTCTCACCCTACTTGAAGTTCATGGATACTCAGACGTAGGGTGGGTTATGAGGACCTGCAGAAGGTAAGAGCCATAGTCACCCTACTTGTAAGCCTACTTACAGGTACCCATGAACCTCCAAATCAAGGTTTTGGGGATACCTCTGGGTGTGCTTGCCTTGTTTCTTTGACCTGCCTAAGGGTTTGGGTTTCTAGAATTCATCGGGTTTTGGGCCGAGGGTCTCTCGGCCTGCCATGAGCCTCGCAGGGTTGTGCCAAGGGCAAAGAATCAGCACCAAAGTGTGTAAAGGTGTTTAGTGCGACTTCGGAAACAAGATTCAACCCCCAAAGCCCCAAACCCTGCAAGCCCTGAACCCCCAACAGTATAAACCCTAAACCCCAAACCCTAAACCCTAAACCATAGACCCTAAGCAACGCCCCCCCCCCCCCCCCCCCCCCGGGTCAAGAAGAGGTCGATGATCTTCTTCGTGCCGCGTCTGAAGCCGAAGACGGTGGAGAACCGGGTCTTGAAGCTGCTGGTCAAGATGATGCAGGTGGGCGCCGGAGGTTTCCCATAAGAGGGATTAAAAATATGGTCCCCCCCCCCATTTTGGAGTAGATGCAGGGCAGCCCCCACTTTTGGGGTATAGTTTGGGGTATATCAGGGGTAACCCCCCCTTTTTTGGGAAGTCCCATGTCCAAAAGACAGCTCACCGGTGAAGGGTTTGCTATATGAACTTTCTGTTACAGTAGTTCTGCTTCTTGATATGACTAAGCAATAAAAACAATACTATTCCTATTGTGCTTGTTGATACTACTATGCCATGTACTGAAATAAGACAAGGCTTGTTGTGCTATTAAGGTTTCGGTCGCCAGCCGCTGCCATCCTCACAGTTTCTGTGGTTTAGGGCTTACTCGGAGGTTCAAGGTACTTCTTACCGAAGCCCCTTAGGTACCCTAATAGGGTTGTAGATTGAGCTTTCAGTACTATTAGAAGCTAAGTGTCATGAACCTGCAAGTAGGGCTTCAAAAAAGGTTTGATGCTGTAGGGCTCGGGATTCTCGATGTTCAAGAAGGGCTTCGAGGTTGTATTGGGGTTAGACAGACTGAGCCCGAAACCCTAAGCCCTGAACCCTAAACCCTGTAAACCCAAAACTCTGTAAACCCTGACGAGTCCGAAGCCGCCAGACCCTGAAAAATCTTGGCCCTAAACCTTCTTAGCCCAAAAGAGGTCTGAGCCTAATCCCCAGACCCTAAACCCTAAACCCTAAACCCTAAACCCTAAACCCTAAACCCTAAACCCTAAACCCTAAACCTCTTCCTGAGGACCCAGAGGCTTCGATCCGCACCAACGCCCTCATTTGCGTGGGCCGCGTTGCGGGGCAGCTGCGGGCGCCCCAAGTTGCCTTTTCTTATGCTCACTTGGAGGATCATTGCTTATATTACGTTGGGTTTAGGGCTTAGGGCTTAGGGCTTAGGGTTGAGGGTTGAGGGTTGAGGGTTTAGGGGTGAGGGTTTAGGGTTTAGGGTTTAGGGTTTAGGGTTTAGGGTTTAGGGTTTAGGGCTTGCGGGGTCTCAAGCTTCGTCCTGGAGCTTATGCCAGCTGGAGCCTTCCTGTTTTGTTCCCTTGCCCGCTAAACCCTAACACCCCAACACCGGAAACCTAATACCCGAAGGACGTAAACCCCTAAACCCCTAAAACCCTAAACCCTAAACCCCTAAACCCTAAACCCCTAAACCCAAAGCCCCTAAACCCTAAGCCCTGAACCCTAAACCTGCCCTGAACCCTAGAGGGTGTCCATGTGTCTTTGCTGTTGCCACGAGGCCTGCAGCCTCGGTCTCCCAAACGCTAATGACCGTCATCGGAATGGGGCTCAAGGAGAAGGTTTTAGGGTTGAGGGTTCAGGGTTTAGGGTTTAGGGTTTAGGGTCTAGGGTTTAGTGTTTAGGGCTCAGGGGTTTAGGGTTTAGGGTCTAGGGTTTGGGGTTTAGGGTTTAGGGTTTGTTGATAGGGTTTGGGGTTGAGCGCTTCCAGGCTGTAGGGGTTTAGGGTGTTTTGGGACGGCACCAATCGCCTTGGTTAAGCTCTGAACCCGAAAGGCTGAACCCTATAACCCCGGCAACCGCTGTACCCAAAACCCTAAATTCTAAGCCTAAACCCTATATCCCTAAACCTTAAACCCTATATCCCTAAACCCTCAAACCCTGTATCCCTCAACCCTAAAACCCCCTTCTCAAAGCCTCTGGTCTGCTACATGACCCTCCCTCTTCGATGGGAACATGACTTCTGGGGTTTCAGGGGGTTCTTTGGGTTTAGGGTTTAGGCTTTAGGGTTTAGGGTTTAGGGTTTAGGGGTTCGGGGTTAGGGTTTAGGGTTTAGGGCTTAGGGTGTTGAAGTGTGGGATGTTCTCAGGTCCGCACCCAAGTGCGCGCATACGCCCCGAAACCTTGGGGATAGGACGAGGCCTTGATATTCTGATCCTCTGCAATGCTGCTGAAGATGCTCATCAAAACATACAGACCATGAAGCCTTCTCTGGGTCACGAATTCGGAAAAGAGCGCCTTAAACCCTAAACCCTAAACCCTAGACCCTAAACCCTAAACCCTAAACCCAAAACCCTAAAAACTAAACCCTAACCCTGAACCCCTAAACCCCTGAACCGGAGGACGGGTTTCCACCCTGCCGTGGGGCAGCTTTGCAGACGCGACTTGGCCCCTCTATCATTAGGGGTTCCCCTATTCCTCCCCCCTTAGGGGTTAGGGCTTCGGGTTTCGGGTTTAGGGTTTAGCATACCCATCAAACCGGTGATCAAGCTCAGGGACCAGACTTTGGTGCGTTGCTGTAAGACCTTAGTAGCTCAAACTCAAAGTGGGAGAGAGTGGGGGCAAGGCGGAGCAGGGCGGCTCAGTTGCCCTTCACAGGCCCTGAGCCCTCGACCCGAAACCAAACCCCTGGGTTTAGGGTTTAGGGTTTAGGGTTTAGGGTTTAGGGTTTAGGGTTTAGGGTTTAGGGTTTAGGGTTTAGGGTTTAGGGTTAGGGTTTAGGGTCCGGCTTTAGGGTTAGGGTTTAGGGTTTGTACAGGGTTTAGGTTTGAGGGTTTAGGGTTGAGGGTTCCCCTCCCCCCCCCCCGCCCCCAAGGCTTTCCCACACGGCGACGGTCTTCTCGCCGGAGGATGGCCCGAGCCTATCCGGGCAAGTTAAGTGCTTGCCTTCAAAGAGTGTTGAGGGCCCTGTCGAGCGCCCATACTTGGAGGATCTTGCGTACTTCTACGTCGGGTTAGAAGTACCTACAAGTAAGGTTATAACCGTAGTCACCCTACTTCCGGCCCTACTTCTGGGTGGTTGTCACAATTGTGGTCCCTTTTTGGATCACTATTATAATACGGCACCAAATATTTAGGGTACCCCAAAAGGGATCATGATTTTGACAACCACTCTTATAAGTACCCAATAAATGTTCCAAGTAGCCCTCGTATCTGCTTTGGGCAGGACGTTCTTTTGTTTGGCATCTCCGTCCCTGTTCCACGCTTGGGCTGACGGATTAGGGTTAGGATTTCGGGTTCAAAAGCCCGAAATGGTTTAGGGTTTAGGGTTTAGGATTTTGGGGTTTAAGGTTAGGGTTTGGGGTTGAAGGTTTAGGGTTCAGGGTTCAGGGTTTAGGGTTCAGGGTTTAGGGTTCAGGGCTCAGGGTTTAGGGGATGCGCAGGAGCTCGCACAGAGGCTTCTGCCCGGCGTTTGCCACCGGCTGGTTGATCCCGACCAGGCACGCACGAGAGAAGTTCTTGGGTTCTTCAGGGAGGGGGTTCAAGGGGGTTATGTAACCCAAGGCTCCCGAACGCTCCCTACTACTCCCTAAGGCTCCCTGAGCTTCCCCAAGGTTCCCTTATGAACTCTATACAAAAGACATAGACCTCAAGCCAGAGCCAGGGTTTAGCTTAATGCTTGGATGAGCAGCTTTGCAACCCCAACCCTAAACCTAAACCATCCCAAAGCATAAGAAGCGAATCCTAAACCCGAAAGCTATAAGAAGCCAACCCGAAATGCGAAACCATCCAAAAACCTAAGAATAAGAAGCGAATCCCAAACCCTACGACTGCTGCCGCTGCTTCTGATTTTGAAACATCTGGTTCTCCAGGAAAATCGACAAAACACGGTTCTCGGTTTGCTGCGTACGGCTTACCAGTTTCTCGGATACTTGTAAGTAGGGTTCTGAGTAGGGTAAGTATGGTTCTACCCGTATTCAGGGTGCTTATAACCCTAAGACTTATTCAGTACCCATGAACCTTCAAGTACCCTAAACCCCAAACCCCAACCCCAAACCCCAAACCCCAAACCCCAAACCCCAAACCCCAAACCCCAAACCCCAAACCCTAAACCCTAAACCCTAAACCCCGAAACTCAAGTCCAGAGGGTTTACGGGTCTTCCGCCCAGGGTGCTCGGGTAAAGAGTGCCTCCCGTCCGTGGATCCGAGACCCAACGAGCAGATCCAGAACCTCGGCCGGTCTCTACACACTTGCTTCGGGTTTAGGGTTTAGGGTTTAGGGTTTAGGGTTTAGGGTTTAGGGTTGAGGGTTTAGGGTTTAGGGTTTAGGGGTTAGGGTTTAGGGTTTAGGGGTTTAGGGGTTAGCGTTTAGGGTTAGGGTTTAGGGTTTAGGGTTTCCTGAAGACCAACCGTCAAGCCCCGAAGTGCTGGGTCTTGAGCTGAAACAGCAGACTAAAAAAACCCTAAACCCTAAACCCTAAACCCTAAACCCTAAACCCTAAACCCTAAACCCTTGATTTCAGATTTCTGTCTCAGCCAGGGGGTGTCTGACCTGGCTTTCAACACCCTCACGAAGCTGCAGGAGTCGATCAGGCAGGTCGCAATACAGGTCCTCTTCTTAGGCTTGGTAGCCCTAAACCCTAAACCCTAAACCCTAAACCCTAAACCCTAAACCCTAAACCCTAAACCCTAAACCCTAAACCCTAAACCCCAAGCCCGACATAGGTTTAAGGGAATGGCCAGTATAGTGCCCGGTTTACACAGGCAGCCGAGGTTGCAGCTTAGGGTTTGGGGCTTTAGGGGGTTTTAGGGTGTTAGGGTGGGTCTAGGGCTTAGGGCTTAGGGGTTAGGGCTTAGGGTTTAGGGCTTAGGGTTCAGGGTTTAGGGTTTAGGGCTTAGGGTTGAGCCAAAGCGGTGGAAGGCAAATGGTTGAGGAGCGCAGAAATGCTGCGCCGGCCGAGGCACCTTGCCGTTGCGTGAGATCTGTAGACTAGGGCCGAGAGGGTTTAGGGTTAGGGTTTAGGGTTTAGGGTTTAGGGTTTAGGGTTTAGGGGTTAGGGGTTTAGGGTTTAGGGTTTAGGGTTTCAGGTTTAGGGTTACCAGGATCGGGAGCAAGCCCGTCGTCCCTTTTAAGGTTTAGCTCCCCTTATAAGCCCCTTTTAAAGCCAAAAAAGGGCACCCTAAACCCTAAACCCTAAACCCTAAACCCTAAACCCTAAACCCTAAACCTTATTCCTAGGTTCCTCTTCAGTCTAGTAGAGGTCTGGTGGCCGCTGTGCACGGCTGTTAGGGCGTTAACGCGTTTTAGGGTTTAAAGGTCTCTTTTGGGGCCTGGGGGTGTTGTGTTTAGGGTTTAGGGTTTAAGGGTTTAGGGTTTAGGGTTTGAGGGTTTAGAGTTTACACTTCGGGATTTCATAGGTTCTGGGTTTGGGGCTTAGTGGGTTCCAAGTATGGGCCCTTCATTTTGAGTCCCTTGTTATATACCCCTTACAGACACTGTACCTAACAAGGGCCCATACTTTGGGTCCCTATAAACAAGCGCCAAGGGACCATTCTAAGGGCCATGGTTCTAAACATAGACTTGGGGTTAAGATTTTTTTTGAAGGAGAGTTACTACCTAAGCCTCCCAAGCTGTGAGCCCCCTGGGAGCCAAGGGTTTAAGGTTTAGGGTTTAGGGGAAAGCAGGGGCCTAGTTGTTAAGACGCTGAGTGAGCTGTAGCAAGTACGCATCGTCTTACTTAAGTATGGTAATGTCGCCCTTTCCCACTAGGTTCACATGCCCAGAGGGACAGGGCCTATGGACAGGGTCTATTTGTGGTACGATGATACGCCCCATAAACGCTATAATCCTGATAAACTTTCACAAGGCCCTAGGCTTAGGGGTTTTACAGCCTTCTCAGCAAGAGCTGCTTGTAGAAGCTTCAAAGGAGCCCCAAGCCTTTGAGGGTTCGGGGGTTCAAGGTTTAGGGATTAGGGTTTAGGGTTTAGGGTTTAGTCCAGTGCTACGAGGCCTTTAACCTACTTCCTCACAAAACCCGGCAGGGTTGGATAAGGATGCTCCGTTTTGTAGCTCGCAGTAACATCAGCCAGCTTCAGAGCCTGTCAGATGACTTTGGCTGTTTAGGGTTTAGGGTTTAGGGTTTAGGGTTTAGGGTTTAGGGTTTAGGGTTTAGGGTTTAGGGTTTAGGGTTTAGGGTTTAGGGTTTAGGGCCACTCTTCAGGGTTTAGGGTTCTGGGTTCGGGTTTAGGGTTTCAGGCTGCGGCCATCTTGTGTTTGGGCATGTGCATCAGACTTAGCGTACTTAGCGTGTATAAGGGCAGTCAAAGGCATGTAGAGCAAACGCAAGTTGGCAAGTTCAATACCAGCACAGCATTGCTATGCAACGTCCTGATGCGTGCAATTACAGAGAGCTAGTCCGAGCCCTGGCTTGCCCCTCCGCATGGAAAGATGCGCATCCGGCCGCTCAACGTTCGGTTCACGCATGACTCCATCAGCCACAAGTTCAGCTGTGGCAGGCTCCTGGATGACACACTTGAAGAGCTCCGATCCGGCAAAACTCGGATTTCTGCCATTCCGCAGATGTGTGTCGTGCGCGTGGGTGACTGGTGGTTTGCCTACACGGGGAACAGACGCCTCTGGGTCTTCAGGAATCTGGAAGAGCAGGGGTTGCTTCACACGATTGAGGTGCAGGTCACAAACGACGAGGTTCCACGCCGGATGTTCACGACGAAGAACATGGGGACTTCGGCGCCCAAAAGGCCTTTAGTGAGCCAGTTCTACCTCAAGTTATTCTTTTTTTGAGGGGGTTAGATGTCCTGGCGAACCCCATTGAAGCACGAGAAGGGCGCACCCTCCCTAGTATGATCATTATGTGTAACAAGAATATATTCCTTTCTTACTCTTGTTCCTCAGCTTTCTTCTTAGAAGCTTGCCCGGCAGCCTAGGTGCGTGTTCGGGGGCGGCCTGCACAGGTGGCAAAGCAGGAGCAGCTGCTTCTGGAAGCCTTAAAGCGCCTTATCGAGCAGTTTGCGAAGAAGCGCTACTCGATGCACGCAAGCCTCTGCGATCCTCGGGTGGAGCAGTCGCTCCTGAACTCCTCCTACGATTCTGAGGATCCCGACTGCTTGGTTCTAAATCCTGACGCGTGTGGATATCTCCTCTTCAAAGCTGATGGGTCGTGGAAGCAGCGGAACATGCCGGTGGAGTTCTGCGATGCCATGGAGGAGGCGGAGGAGGAGGAAGACGACGAGGAAGGGAATGATCCCGTAGTTGCTGCATGTGGTTGTGGTGGTAGGTACTATCTCAGATGTGAAAACGACAGTGAACGCTGGAGCGCATCAAAGTCGTTCAGCAAGGCCATCAAGGAAGGCGCGGCTGTAGAGGCTGTTGCCTTCGCCCCCAACAACGGTTACTGGCTAAGGCGCTCGGATGGCTCCACCAAATGGCTGCGATTACCTGGTTCCCTGGAGTGTGCATTGGAGAGGAGCCTAAAGCCTAAACCCTAAATCCTAAACACTAAGCCCTAAACCCTAAACCCTAAATACCCTAAACCCTTAACCCTAAACCCTTATAGACCCTAAACCCTAGACCCTAAACCCTAAACCCTAAGCCCTAAACCCCTAAACCCTAAACCCTAAACCCCAAACCCCAAACCCTACCTTGGAGAGGAGCAAGGAGCAACCAGAGTATGTCTCTATCTCTCCGGCTGGTGGTTGGTTTGTTCGATTTCCCGACGGCCGCTGGCAATACGAGGACATACCGTCTGACTGCCGTCAGCAAATTAAGGCTCATCACCAAGAAGGCAAAAGACTGTTCCAACTAGTGTTCGGAGCAAATAATGATTGGGTCGGCTTCTTTCAAGAGCCTTCCAAATTCGGCTGAAGTTGCCTTAAGGCGACTCAGCGGTCTAAGCTGAGTCGCTCGGCTGAGTTCTCTCGGGCCGGGAAAGGCTGAAGTAACCGAAGCAAGAGCCCAACTGACAAGTTCAGCATGAAAGCCCACCCTCAATATCCTATGCGGTTCTAAGCAAGCGTTTCTCTCCTTGCTTGGACTTATCTAGTATCGCAAAAATTCGCTGTAGCAGAGCAGAACCACAGCTGTTTCGAATTACGCCATCGAGTCCTTAGCCCTAAGCCGTAAGTAAACGCGTCATTCCCCAACACGATATCGACCCTAACCCATCAGAGGATTTGGAATAGGCTTTTTCGTCCGCGGCAGGAGCGTCGTAGGTTTCACGCCAGGTGTATCCGGGGCTGGGGCCCCGGTTGTAGCCCATGTGTCAAGAGGCAAATACAGAGAGGCGCAAGCGTCTTGGTTTCTTGTTGAGCGGTTTCTTCGGGGAATTCCAAATCATACAACCTGAAATGCTGTGCGCGGGGTGGGGGCGAGGGCAGGGTTTAGGGTCTAGGGTCTAGGGTCTAGGGTTTGGGGTTTATGGTCTATAGGGTTTAGGGTTTAGGGTTTATGGTTTAGGGTTTAGGTTCAGGGTTCAGAGTGTAGTGTGGCATCCGCCTCATCTTTGCTAGACGAAAGCTACTCTCTACCCGAAACAACCGTGCAGGTTCTCAGTACTCGCGTTTGGGGAACAAGGCTTAAGCTTTCGGGCTTAGGTACCTCGACACGGATTTTTTAACCAATGGTACATATGAGTTAGGTTATAAGCAAGGGTAGCTATGGCTATCACTTTATTCAGGGCACCTCTTCCTGACTTGCAAGTACCCATGAACCATCAAGTACACCCTAATTAAGCTCCACACCTCCAACTAAGACCAAGAACCAGTAAGCAAATTACCTTGAGGCATCCTTCTCTCCTGCCTGGACAACACACGCCCGCGCACACGCACTGACTACGCACACGGATTTAGGGTTTAGAGTTGGCGCACACACACACACAGAGATTCACTCTCACACTCACACTCAAAGCCAAAGTCTCCGAAAGCCCTTTCGAAATCCCCAACAGCCTCCTCGGATCTATATTTCAGAGGCTTAGGCCCAAGACCATACTATGAAAGGTTTTTGGACTGCTTCTTGGGGCCAGACCAGACCCTCAAACTTATTTGCCCGGTCCTATACACCCTGTAAACCCTGTAAACCCCACAAACCTTGACCCCTAAACCGTACACTACCCAAAGCCCTATGGAAGGTTTGTTTGGGAGAGAGAATCATAGGTTTCCCTACTAGTCCTTCCTCCCTTATACTACCCCCCCCCCCCGCCGCTTAAATAGCCTTAATTGGGCTTAATTCGCCCTAAAGAGCCTTAATTATGGAGGGAACGTAGGGGCGGGGGTGAGTAGAGGGGCTCAACCCTAAACCCTAAACCCTAAACCCTCAACCCTAAACCCTAAACCCTAAACCCTAAACCCTATAAACCCTAAACCCTATAAACCCTATAAACCCTATAAACCCTAAACCCTAAAGGAGGCTAGTAGGGGAACCTGATAAGAGTATGTTGAGCCTGAGGGGGAAACGCCCGGAACCCACCACGCCGATAGGTCGGGGTCGGTGCGACGGAGGCCGCCTTGGGCTTCAGTAGGTTTAGGGTTTAGGGTTTAGGGTTTAGGGTTTAGGGTTTAGGGTTTAGGGTTTAGGGTTTAGGGGGTTTCGGTGTTGGGGCTTGGTGTTTCGGGTGGGTTTAGGAGTTAGGGTGGTTGCTAGCGGCCTTCGGCCATCACAGCGTTAGTCCGTGGGTGTGTTCCATGAGCTTTTGCTGTCTTTTGGGTGGTAGTTTTTGGTACACAGTGGGAGGCCTCCAAAGGGGAAGTCATATATGTCGGCTCCTGTCTGAGTCTAGCTTTTGGCACTAGGGCGTCATTGTTTAAGTTACAAATGCTAAACCAAAACTTTAAACTCTAAACCCTAACCCTAAACCCTTGAGCTTTGCCGAAGGTTCGGAAGGGCTTTTGTGAATAAGGCGAATGGGGAGTTGATCAGCTCAGGTCTTAGGGCTTCGACGTTTTAAAACCTTACAGTTCCTCTTGCACTTCATAGGGTTTAGGGTTTAGGGGGGAACCAAACAGAATCCCGAACCTCAAAGCTAGGTCAGTAGCCCTGGGTTCGCCAGCTTGAGTCCCCCATAGGCCAACTTCAGTTTCTACTATTACCACTATTGGCTGAAGAGAAGCCCCCCCCCCCCCCAAAAAAAAAAAAAAAACTTCGTGCTTAAAAGGGTGGTACATTGTGTTGCAGTTCTTTTGGGGGGGTTCTTAAGCAAACGGTTGCTTTGTAGGAGCACGACACCTGAGACTGTCAGGGGATAGACGCCCCATGAGCCATTAGGGTAAGTGTACCATGTTATAGGGTTATGAAGAGCACTTCATGGCGAATATCCGACCACAAGGCCTAAAAACCCTGCCCTATATTGGCCAGTATCCTTGCGGTCGTGTTACAGTCGACCCTATGCCCCCATCTGGCTGGGGAGGCATGAAATCTTTATGACGATCCAGAGGCCCTGTAAGGGAGATAACTGAAGGTGTAGGGTTTAGGGTTTAGGGTTCAGTGTTTAGGGTTTAGGGTTTAGGGTCTCAAGGCCCGCTAAATTCGGGGGCTTAGGGCTGCGGGCCCACATTCCCCAAAATCAAAGCCTTACGCGCGGGTTCTGGCATGACGGTGAGCCGATCGGCCGTGGCTTTGGGTAACCATACCTCCAGCATTGTACACACGCCCCATTGCGCGGCGCTGAAACCATTGAAGGTCGACAGACAGAGGGCTGGAGGAAGCTTGGCGCGCCCAAAGAATTGGATCACTTTCCGGATTCCTCATGCGCTTGCGCACGTTGGTGCCGGCATTCCATTGAGGATGCCATGCAGATGTATTATGCCATTGCAACCGTGCAACTCGCACCTGGACCCGACACGCCGCTCTGTAGAAGGCCACAGAAGCAATAAGTTCTATGTAAGTATGCGTATAACAACGTGGTAACGCTTTTGACATAAGTGGAGGGCGGCCAGGCCCCCACGGAGCCACGGAGGTAGTATCCAAGTACTGTTTAAATTGTATTTTCAAACACCACCCACCCCTACCCGCACCACCCCTAGACCGCCACACCCTCTACTGTAGAGCCCTTGGACCTTCACCACCCACCCGACCCCCACCACCCTGGAGCCCCACCACCCTAGACCCCCCCCGCATGCTGGGTGATAAAACCCTAAACCCTAGCCCTAAACCCTAAACCCTAAGTACACCCGAGCCCTAAACCCCCCACAACCCCTAAACCCTAAATCTCGTAGGGGTTTTGGGCTTAAAAACCCCGCCGGTGGTTTGGGGGCCTCCCAAAAGGCCGGTACGGATGCATCCTCAACAAGCTGGACTCAAGGAGGAGTTCCCGGACATCCCCCCCCCCCCCTCAACCGGTTTAGGTTTTAGGGTTTAGGGTTTAGGGTTTGGGGTTTAGGGTTTAGGGTTTAGGGTTTAGGGTTTAGGGTTTAGGGTTTAGGGTTTAGGGTTTAGGAGGTTCAGGAGGTTCAGGCTCAGGGGCTTTTAGCGGTCTAGCTGCTTCTGAATACTTAGTTTTGTGTAGGAGGTGCTCAGGAACCTCACACTCAGGCCCTACTTTGGCCCTTAATGTTGTTTAAACCTCCTAACTTGGGATGTTCCCTCTTATACGAACAGTCCCGAATAGGGACTATACTAGGGGGTACTTTACTCCCCATCAAGGACTGTCAGGAAAAGGGGGAACATCCCACCATAGGTGCACTACCTCTCCTTACAGAAGCCTTCTTCGGTTTGCTTAGAGGCTTTGGGTTTGGGATACAGGACTTAGGGTTCAGGGTTTAGGGCTTAGGGCTTAGGGTTTAGGGCTTAGGGTTTAGGGTTTAGGGTTTAGACCTGATTCCGCAACTCCCCTAAGAAGAGCCGGGAAGTAAACCTCATGTCTACGTAAACTTGAAAGCCCCGAGTCCAAAACCCCACCAGGGCACCCTAAACCCTAAACCCTAAACCCTATACCCTATACCCTATACCCTATACCCTAAACCTGAAGTACCTAAAACCTAAAACCTAAACTCTTCACTTGGCGCGTCCGTGGGGTGTAGGGTTTTTGGGGTTCAGGGTTTCGGGTGTTGAGACTTCGTGGGTGCCTCGTAGATGGTCACAAGCCCTCCTTGGGCCTACGTTTAGGGTTTGGGCTTAGGGTTTGGGGTTTGGGGTTTCGGGTTTCGGGTTTAGGGTTTAGGGTTTAGGCGTTCTCAGATTGTATGGCTCCTGCTTCGGGCAGCAGAAGCTTTGGCTTTTGGCACCTGCTGCTTAAGAGACGGAGTTTTGCGTTTGACCTTTAGGGTTTAGGGTTTAGGGTTTAAAAGGGTTTAGGGTTTAGGGTTTATAGGGCTGAGGTTTCGAGTTGCTGACGCCACTGAAGGTAGCTGAAGCTTCTGCATAAAGCCTGGCAGGTTTTGAAAGGCATCTTCCTCACTAGCATCTTCGGCCACCGTTAGTCACATCCATTCCTTCCAGACAGCATGAGACAGCAACTTTTGAGCACTTTGTGGATCATGGTCGCAGCTCATACTCAAGTTTGTTGCACCCTTAAAGGGGAAGTTTTGTAAGCAGGTCACCAGGGTCTTCGGCTACAGGGCTGAGAGGGTCATGTGTAGCTGTTTGCGGCCCAAGTGCAGCACAAGTCTGCGGAGATACCAGACGGGACCCTGCAATGGATCCTTCAGCCCAACTACCCTCTACAGCCCCTATGCACGCACCGAAATACCCTAATCCCTCAAGCAAGTCTGCTGAGACTGATGGCCGCACAGTAAAGTACAGATGGCAGCTCGCCCTTCCTGTTTCTTCTATAGGTGCAGGGTTTAGGGTTTAGGGTTCAGGTTCCGGGTTCAGGGTTTAGGGTTTGGGGTAAGGGGAGTATAAACAGTCTGAATATTTGGAGAGTAGTCGTCAGGGCCTAGAGCTGAAGGGTTGAGGGCTCAGAGCATTTTGGGGTCTCAGCCGGAGCCGGTGACATAGCCTGTTGCTAGAGTCCAAGCCCTGCCAAAACGACTCTAGTCCGGGCAGTCGCCAAAAGGTTTGGGATTGAGGGTTGCGCCTCAAATCCCCAAAGCTTTTCGGGATCTTAAGGGAGGGAAGGTTCAAGGGGGGTGGACAACCCCATGAACCCCCTCCCTCAAGACCCCTACAAGAAGCCTAGCAAACCCTAAGTCTTAAACCCTAAATCCTTCACCCTAAACCCTAAACGAGGCAATCGGCATTGACTTCGGGACCTCTCGCTCCTGTGTTGCTGCGTGGACGGGAGGTGAGGAGATCACAATCCTTCCCAACGACCCTTGGAGGGTATGAGAAGTACTTGCAGGTTCATGGTGCTTAGTTACCTCACATATTACTGTACTTCTAGCCCATTTATAACCCTGTTAGGATACTTAAGGGGCTTTTGAGTGGGTTCTGGTTTCCTTTCTTGTACCCCCTCTATACTACCCCATCTAGGTTCCCCTCTTGAAGAGCCTTAGTTCGGCTTAAGTCTCCCTAAATAGCCCTAATTTTGCGGGGGACCCTGGGGGGGGGCGGGGGTGGTATTGCCCGGGGGGGGGGGGGGGGGGCCGGGCAGTAGGGGAACTCATGAGAAGTAGGGTAAAACGCAAAGGTGAGAATTTTCCCCCTTTCCCCAAATTCAGCCAGAAGATTGACACCCCTGACTCCCCTGCAACCGACGCTACTTTTCAAGAGGAGCAGCCTTGGGTTTAGGGTTTAGGGTTTAGGGTTTAGGGTTTAGGGTTTAGAGTTCAGGGTTCAGGGTTTAGGGTTTAGAGTTTAGGATGAATGAACAAGATAATTCTAGGCATTGTGGAAGGATGGAGACTTCAACATTTCGGGTTTGGGGTTTAGGGTTTTCAGGGTTACTGAGGATGACTGTTGAAAATCAGAAACTCAGGGGGGCCCATGACATTTTCGTCAGAGACCCTGAGACCCTGAGACCCTGAAACCCTGAAACCCTGAAACCCTGAAACCCTGAAACCCTGAAACCCTGAAACCCTAAACCCTGAACCCTAAACCCTAAACCCGACCCCAACCCAGGAATATGGCAAGCGCACCACCCCATCCTTCGTGGGCTACGCACAGAAGGACCTGGCTCTGAGATGCGTTCCTGGATCTGGGGTTTATTGCAGCTTTATGGCTTTATGGCTTTTAGGGTGTAGGCTTTATAAGACTAAGCTTTATGGCTTTTAGGGTGTAGGCTTTATAAGACTACAATCTTAGGGAAGGTATGATAAGTATGTCCTGTGCTGAAAGAGGTTTGGCCCATGCTTTACGGGGCATGGAATTTGTTGAGCCCCAAGCCGTTTTTGTTTTTTGGAGGGGGGGGGGGTCCCTTAATTTCTCCTCTAGACGACGAAGGGTTCAGGGTGTAGGGTTTATGAACTAAAAATCCTAAACCCTAAGCCCTAAACCCTGAACCCTAAACCCTAAACCCCAAACCCCTAAACCCTAAACCCAAATTAAGGTCTGGGGTTCCTGATGCTCCCCCGGAGGAATGGTTCTTGGGAAATGCTGCGCGGATTATGTCCATTAGCTCCCCGACCTCCTCAGACTGCCGGCGGTTGAGGGCTTCGATTGTTTAAGCACTGGAGAGTGCATTGCTGTCAAAGTCTCTTCGAACCTGAGGGTTTAGGGTTTAGGGTTTAGGGTTTAGGGTTTAGGGTTTAGGGTTTAGGGTTTAGGGTTTAGGGTTCCAGTCCTATTCCCAAACCCTTTGCGGGTCGAGGGGTGAAGGTCTCGCGACTTAGAGTTGGGAGGTGCGGCGATTTCGGGTTCAGGGACAGCGCCCGGACCTCCTTATTTTACTCAGCCAGGAGTTGAACTTTAGACTGCTTGGGCTTCCTTATTTAGCAGGAAAAGTAAAGTTGAGCCTTGTCTTTTCCCCTTGGCTATTGGAGAAGTAAATTTCAGCCCCAATCTGAGGAAACTATGAGAGCACTGTGTTCCATTCAAGGCTTGCCAGGGCGGCGGGGAAGGGGGGGTGGGGGGGGGGGACCAGAGGGGCAGGTTTTGGGCTTCAAGGTTTCGGGCTTTGGGGCTTGTAAGGGTGTTTCAAGTTTTGCGGTTTCGGAGTTTAGGATGTTGAGGGCCACGGGCTCAGATCAGGAAGCGACCTGAACCCTAAACACTAGTCCCTCCGAAGCCAAGCGCTGGACCTCTCGAACCTCTTAAATCTTAAATGCCCGGTGGAGGGGGACCTCAGAAGCTACCGTACGCCAAACCCTGTAAACCCCTCAGAGTAGGTTTGAGGTTTAGGAACCCCTAAAAACTAAACCCTTGTAGACTCTAAACCCCAAACCAACCCTAAAACCTAAGCCTTAAACCCTACAGGCTAACCGCCGACCCCCACACTCCGACCCCCCATAAGAACATCTCGGATACTGGATAGATGGCAGTAGGTTGCCTGGCCGCGGGAGTCACACACGCTCCAGTGAGAAAAAAGCATCAGCAAGGCAACGTGTTTCGGGCTTTAGGGCTTAGAGTTTAGTCTAGTTCTTGCCTCTATCCCAAATTCTAAGCCCTAAACCCTAAACCCGAAACCCTTAGGGCTCAGGGGCCTCCAACAACTAAGAGGCAACTGCTTGGGCGCTGTTGGGACGACCCCGTCGTCCAGCGCGCCGTGAAGATGTGGCCATTCAAGGCCCAAACCTTGTGAAACCTACAGGGTGCTGCTTTAGGGTTTAGGGTTAAGGGTTTAGGGTTTAGGGTTTAGGGTTTAGGGTTTCCGAAGCCTCAAACCTACTGCGTTGAGGGCTTCGGGCTTGCAGGGCTTTAGGGGGGTTCGGGGCTTACCGGGTTGAGGGGTTCAAGGCCATGACTTTTTGTAGTGGAGTGCTTAGGGCGGAGGTTTGAGGTCTTGGTTCGGGGCTCGTCCAGGGGGATTTGGGGTTTTGGGCCATAGGGTTTCGGGGTTCAAAGGGCTTATGAGAGGTGTAAAATGGTTTGCGGGTTCCGGGATGAGGGCTTAAAAAGGTTTGGGGTTAAGGTTTCGGGTTCAGGTTTAAGATTAAATCCGAAGCCCTAAACTAAGTTGTTGGCCCTCACCTCTGCCTCTTCTTATGCCATGCAACGCGTCCTTACGGACCAAGTCTCAAACCTCAAGTACAATGTAAGGGTTTGGGGTTGGGGCTGTTCGTTTAGGGTTTAGGGTTTCGAGTTTAGGGTGGAACTTGAATGGGTGCTTGGGGAACAAATGAGTAGTTATATCGGATTTTGAGAGGAGAAACATGGTAGTTTTGTTCAGGCTTGGGGTTCAGGGTTCAGGGTTCAGGGTTTCGGGTTTCGGGTTTCGGATTTCGGGTTTAGTTTAGGGTTTAGGGTTTAGGGTGACCTTCATCCATGTTCCCTTTGGTTGTGTAGAAAGGGTCTTCAAAGCTGCAGGGAAGTCGAGGATGCAGGGTTTAGGGTGCAGAGAAGCAGGGTTTAGAGTTTACACGGTCTAGGGTTGATGGGGGTTTGCAGGGTGTGTACTTTTTGTTGGTTTTAGAAGGTTTTTTGTTCGGTATATGGGATGTACAGGTGTCTTATTCTTAGGGTTTTAGAGGGTGGGTTTCGCGAGCCCCAAAGCTTCACACCTTGCGCTTTGCGGCTCCTGTTTCAACTTGTGACTAGCCCGACCTCAACAATCCTCAAGCCTTAAGGCACAAACAATCACATCCTAAAAAAGTTCCTAAAGCACTAAACTAGCACTAAACGCGCGAAACCCTCAACCCTAAAACCTAAACCCTAAACCCCAAACCCTTCAGCATCTGGCATCCGAGGTCGCCAAAGGCGAGCGCGACCAACCCACCTTTGAGGTCAGTGCCCAGGGCGAGTCTATGGCCTTTCTTCCGGAGCCCTTGGCAGAACGTGCGGGTTGAGGGTTTAGGGTTTAGGGTTTAGGGTTTAGGGTTTAGGGTTTAGGGTTTAGGGTTTAGGGTTTAGGGTTTCGGGTTTAGGGATCAGCGTTTGGGGTTTAGGGTGTAGGGTTTAGGGATCAGGGTTTGGGGTTTAGGGTTTAGGGTTTAGGGTGCTTAGGGCTCAGGGTTGTAGGCTTTACTGCTTCCTGTAGGGGTTTTTGAGGGATTTTGGAAGGGTTTGGGGCTTGGAGGGTTTAGGGTTCAGGTTGCGGGTTCATGTGGTTGTGACCACCCAAACTCTGCACTGTCCTAAACAAGACAGGGGCTGCGACCGGATTTTGCCTGAGGTATAGGCCCAGAGCCCGAAAGCCCAAATGACCGAAGACCCGAATGGTCTGAGCTTATCGGTTCTGAGTAGGGATCTTGGCAATCCGGCACTTGGGCACCATGTAGAGGTCCCTTCAAAGGGGTATATAGAGGGAGGCAAGGCCCTTATTCGCTACTAAGCTCTACAGTAGTAAGCAATTCCCATTTTCACACCCTGAGCCCTAGGGAAGTGCAGGGAGGTGGATGAGGCTTTAGGGTTTTGCCTCTGGTGGGACTACTGCTGTCAGTAGATGAAGTGGGCTTTTTGGTTCCCAAGCCCCAAACTGCAAACAATTGCTGAGAGAGCTCGGGGAGGGTTAGAGCTTTTGAAGTTTGTGAGTGCAACTGGGGGTTTAGAGGGTTTAGAGGTTTAAGAGGGTTTAGAGGGTTTGGAGGGTTTTTAGGGTTTTTTCGGGTTTGTAGGATTTTTAGGGTTTAGAGGGTTTAGAGGGTTTAGAGGGTTTAGAGGGTTTCGAGGGTTTAGAGGGTTTCCAGGGTTCAGAGTGTTCAGGGTTTAGTGTTCAAGCGGAGCTACGGTTCCCTGCAGCACGCAATGAGTGCAAGACAAAGAGCTACAAGCCGGACCTAAACATCCTGGACTTAGGGCTTAAGGTTTATAGGGTTTAGCCCTGAAACCCCCAACAAGCCCAAGCCCTAACCCTGAACCCCTAAACCCCTAAACCGTAAACCCTAAACCCTAAACCCTAAACCCTAAACCCTAAACCCTAAACCCTAAACCCTAAACCCTAAACCCTAAACCCTAAACCCTAAACCCTAAACCCTAACCTAAACCCTAAACCCTAAACCCTAAACCCTAAACCCTAAACCCTAAACCCTAAACCCTAAACCCTAAACCCTAAACCCTAAACCCTAAACCCTAAACCCTAAACCCCAACTCCAGGAGCATGTCTCGGCTTTTCTTCTTGCCAAGTTGCACCTCGCTGGCTTGCGATCGGCCGGGGAAGCCTCCTTTGCGCCCTGGCGGCGCTTTAAGGGGCGGGGGGGGGGGGGGGGGGTTAAGGGTTGGGGGGGGGGGGGGTTCCTAAGCCCTAAACCCTAAACACCAAACACCCTAAACCCTGAACCCTAAACACTACACCCTAGACCAAGTTCGGGCTCGGTGCTGACCAGATAAGCATTGAGAACGCGCCAGGGCGCTGCCAGCCTGTTAAGTCCCGCATTGCATTGGGGCGTTAAGTCAGCTTTGGGGCTTCATGTAGGTAGAGGGTTTAGGGTTTAGGGTTTAGGGTTTAGGGTTTAGGGTTTGGGGTTTGGGGTTTGGGGTTTGGGGTTTAGGGTTACTCCATATAGAGCCTGTAGTAGAACGGGGTCGGGGGGGGGGGGGGGGGGGGGGGTTCCGCGGCTTGGATTTCTGGCCTCAGGCCGGAAAGTCGGGATCCATCCCAAAACCGCCTGGGGTTCGAACCCTAAACCCTAAACCCTAAACCCTAAACCCTAAACCCTAAACCCTAAACCCTAAACCCTAAACCCTAAACCCTAAAACTAAGAGGGTGGGAAGGCTTTGGGGTTTAGGGTTTAGCGTTTAGGGTTTGGGGGTTTAATTCCATGTAAGCCGAAACCCTTGACCGTAAACATGTTAAGCCATAATTTTGGATCCGACCTCACCTGTCGTCTACCATCCGAACCCGGGACGCAATGACGGTTTAGGGCCTAGGGGATTCAGGATTCGGGATAGGTAGGGTCGGAAAGCTTGGTGGCTAGAGGTTTAGGGTTTAAGTCTTTTTGGACCCTGACCCCTACTTATGAACCCTAGACCCTGTTTATGAACCCTAAACCCTAAAGCCAGCCAATGCCTAAGGTGGTCATGACCGTTCCTGCGGCGTGCCTCGTCACACAAAGCTCAGGTGCAATGTAGGCAGCTTCAACCCTAAATCCTACACCCTAAACCCGAAACCCTACACCCTAAACCCTAAACCCTAAACTCAAAACCCTAGTCTAGAGTTCAGCCTAAGCATCCAACTTTCCTTCCACAGTCAGAACTTGCCATCTCGCCTTTTCGCGAGTTCGTGAAACCTCCAGACCGTGCGCGAAATCCCTAAATGCTTGTAAACCCTAAAAACCCGCCAAACCCTATATACCCTGCATACCCTAAGCAGTCTGTAAGCCCTAAACCCTGTAAGCCTTAAGTCCTCAATAAACCCTGGAACCCTCATCCGTGCCGAGCCTGCGGAGGTCTTAGAGCCTACACCTACCAAACCAGATAGCCTAAACCTTAGACAGCCCGTAACCCCTATGGCCCGAAAGCACAAACCTCTGAACCCTTATCTACATGGGTTTAGGGTTAGGGTTTAGGGTTTGCGGTTTGGGGTTTTGGGTTTAGGGTTTATGATCATTCTTAAACTGACCGGCGATGCCTAGATTGTTTGTGTCACTCCAGTAGGCAATGCCCTGCTTCATTGATCCAACGACGCATGTCCGACCGAACCCCAAACCATAAATCCCAAACCCCAAACCTCAACCCCAAACCCTGAACCCGAAACCCTAAACCTCAAACCCTAAACCCTGAATCCGAAACCCTAAACCCCAAACCCTAAACTTCCTAAACCCTAAGCAGGCCTTAGCCCTGAACTCCCGAGGTTCAATCACCTGCAGCACCGCGCCATTGAGGACGTGGCCTCTATCGCCGGCGTACAGGCTCGGTAAACTGTATACTGTATACCCTAAACCCTAGCCCTAAACCCTAAACCCTAAACCCTAAACCCTAAACCCTAAACCCTAAACCCCGCTGCTGGAAGGCCCAAAGCTGAACCTTTTCCCCCGTATCAAACTCGGCATGTAAGTCATGGGCTTTCGGTTTGGGGTTGGGCTCCCGGAGCCCCTAAGAAGCCCTAAACCCTAGGGTTTAGGGTTTAGGGTTTAGGGTTTAGGGTCTAGGGTTTAGGGTTTAGGGTTTAGGGTCAGGGATTGGGGTAATCCCTTCTCCTGGTCGTGCACCTTAAACCTCTGAAACCTCTTCAAACTCTTAAGCCTCTCGAACCCCTTCAACCTCTTCAGCCTCTTCAACCCCAAACCTAAACTTGTACTTGCTTAAGAACCCCCCCCCCCACCCCCCAAGAAAATTAAACTATTCTTCCTTATAAGGGAAATATCGGATTATGATTATTATTTATTCTTTTGGGGTTCTTAAGCAAGTCGTAGTCTTTCCTGGACCGCAGGTCAGACAGTTCCTTCCAGCTCCCTCTGCTGCAGCGCGCCCCGCCTTTTCAAGTCAAGGGTTTATAGGGTTTAGGGTTTAGGGTTTCCCGAAACCCAGACCTGACAGCCTGCAAAGCCTGAGCCCTTGGACCAAGACTGAACCGGAAGCATGAGGCCCCCCCCCCCCCGCCCTATGAACCCTAAATCCCAAAGCCCTAAACTCTAAACTACAAAACCCTAAACCCTAAACTCCAAAACCCTAAACCCCAAAGCCCCAAATCCCTAAGCCCAAGCCGCGAGACCTGCTGGACACTAAGGTTAGCATATGCGCTTCACGAGAACCTGCCAGAAGAACAGCACGTCCTCGTGATCGACTTGGGCGCATCTGGGCTTTGTCCAGGGTTGGGTTCAGGGTTCTGCCTCTAAACCCCAAACCCTAAACCCTAAACCCTAGGCCCTACACCCTAGTTTTCGGGTTTAGGGTCTGCAGGTGTAATGAAGGCCCGAGGTTGAAAGTGGTTCTGGGCTTAGGCTTTAAGGCCCTTGGGGTCCCTGTAACTTGAAATTATTCAAAGTTTAAATGCCGAAACTCCCCGAAACCCCTCGAAACTTTCCCGGACCTGAACCCTGAATAATTTCAATAAACCCTAAACCCTAAACCCCAAAATGAACGCTAGTAAGCGAGAGCAAGGCCCTCAGCCCTAAACCGTCCACGGAGCCTGAGGCTGGCTCGATCGATGTGGCACTGGTGCACATTTCCAAGGGCTTCCTGGACCCGAGGGGTTTAGGGTTTAGGGTTTAGGGTTTAGGGTTTAGGGTTTAGGGTTTAGGGTTTAGGGTTTAGGGTTTAGGGTTTAGGGTTTAGGGTTTAGGGCTTGTTTGGGGTTGAGGGTTTGGGGTTTGGGGTTTAGGGCGGAGGGTTGAGGGTGTAGGGTACAGGGACATCGTAGTCGTCCTTCGCCCACCCTTCCAAACAAACATCATGGGGTTTCAGGTGTTTAGTGCCCTTAGGGTCCTCAGGTTTTTCCCTAAACCCTAAACCCTAAACCCCAAACCCTAAACCCTACACTGTAGGGCTTAGGGTTTCGGACTCTGGTATGCTCCGTGCTAATGTCTGAACCCACCCGTCCTCCATAAGATTGCCTGCAGCAGTGGTGGTCGAGACCCTGCGTCCCCTTAACCCTCTGCCCTAAACCATAAACACTCTAGTTGTTCGAGCAGTTCGGAGCATGAGATTCCAGGAAGGGGTATACACCTTAGACCCTACATCCTAAACCCTAAAACCCTCAACTTTAACCCCAAACCCTCAACCCTAAATCCTAGAACTCTCAGCTCTAAACCCTGCAGACCTTGGACAGGACATTCTGGGCAGTGCCGGCAACGATCACTTTGGCGGCAATGAGCTGGATTCTAGCTTGCGATATTTAAGGGAGGCTTATGAAGGGTTTAGGGTTTAGGGTTTAGGGTTTAGGGTTTAGGGTTTAGGGTTTAGGGTTTAGGGTTTAGGGTTTAGGGTTTAGGGTTTAGGGTTTAGGGCTGATTCGGGTCCTTTAGGGTTTTTTTCTATTATGGAGTTGATAGGCTTTGTCGGGTGGTTGAGTCGCCGTCGGCTTTAGCGTTTGTATCATTTAGGCTTGAGCGCTTGGCCTCCAGCGCTTAAGGTTTAGGGGCTCTTTGGTTACAACTCGAGAAGCTACTTACACCGGGCTGCTGGGGTTTGGGGTTTCGGGTTGTGGGGCTTTGGGGGTTTGGGCCTTGAGTTTTTAAGGCTTTGGTGTTTCGGTTTTTAACCCCAAAAAAACAAACCCTGAACTCTCGGGTTTGGGGAGCGTTTCGGCTACAGAGGCCGGATCACGTGCCTTGATAGTAGGCCCGAATGCTTCTGATTCCTGATGAGTGCCCTTTCCTTTCCGCCCATCAAGCACCACTAAACCTTAAACCCCAAACCTTAAACCCTAAACTGAGGTTTACATAGGGTGCTTCGGGAAGCAAGGGTTTAGGGTTTAGGGTTTAGGGTGTAGGGTTTAGGGTTTAGGGTTTAGGGTTTAGGGTTTAGGGTTTAGGGTTTAGGGTTTAGGGTTAGGGTTTAGGGTTTAGGGTTTAGGGTTTAGGGTTTAGGGTTTAGGGTATGGGGTTTAGGGTTTATACATGATGGTCGAGGGTTCTTGGGGTACAGGGTTCAGGGTTTGGGACTTGCATGGCGAACGTGGCCGTTGCTGTCGCTGAGGACAACTGCCTGGTGGGCTGCTGCCTGGATGAGTTTCATCACCTGCAAGCTGGCTGCAAGGTGGTCAAGACAGCGCCCAGTTTCCGGGGGGTGGGGCGCCAGGGTTTAGGGTTTAGGGTTTAGGGTTTGGGGTTTAGGGTTTAGGGTTTAGGGTTTACGTTTACAGGTGAGGGATCCTTTTGGAGGTGGGGCTGAAATTAGGGGGTCCGCTTTCCTTGGGGGGGCGGGGGGTGGCCTTGAGTCACAGATCTCTGCTGGAATAAGAAACGAGGGGACGGTCACTTGAGACAACCCCAACTGTCGGCAAGAGTCGTGAATTTTGTTCTTGAACTCTACGTAAGGTTTAGGGATTAAGGCTTAGGGGTCTAAGCCAAAGAAAGCCTCAACCCTGCGCCTCAGCTCTAAGCCCTAAATCAGAGCTGGCAATAAATCAGAGCCATGCAGGGAGTGCCAAGGGTTTAGGGTTGGGGTTTTCGGCTCAGGGTGTAGAGTTTACTCAACGAAGGTCGCAGTTTTTACACCCCAATCCTTGGCCCAAGCCCTTCGGTGTTTAGCTGAGACACCAGGTTTTAGGGTTTTGGGGTTTAGGGTTCCGGGTTTAGGGGTGTTTGGTATGAAGGGCGCTTAGGATGTCGGTTTGGGCTCGAGTTTATGTAGGGTTTAGGGTTTGGTTGGTTTAAGGTACGGGGCTTAGGAGCCCTAAACTAAACCTCAAACCCTAAACCCCAAACCCTAAACCTTAAACCCTAAACCCTACAACCTCCTGTGACGAGGCATGGCAAAGATGCTTCCCGCGACCTCCAAGTAGCTGGGCTGAGTCTGAGGTTTAGGGTTTAGGGTTTAGGGTTTAGGGTTTAGGGTTTCGGGTTCCGGGTTTCGGGTTTGAGGTGTCGGGTTGAAGGTTCAGGGTTTAGCGTTTAGGGTTTAGGGATTGGGGTTTGGAGTTTGGGGATGTTCTTGAAGCTTCATGGTACTTATAAGTAGAGATATAAGTAACCTAAATATGGTTGTAACCATAGTTGCCTCACCTTACTTGTCACCCTACTGATAAGTACCCTAAACCCTAAACCCTAAACCCTAAAACCTAAACCCTAAACTGTGGCTAGCTCTTGAGCTAAGCCGCTGCAAGCCGGCAAGTAGCACCATGTCTGGCTTCTGAGATTTCTGAGATTTTGGGTTAGACTCCACCCTTTAGGGTTTAGGGTTTAGGGTTTAGGGTTTGGGGTTTCCGGGTTCAGGGTTCAGGGTTTAGGCTATTACTCAAGCCCCTGACCCTGTGCCCATTTGAAAGAGCCCTCTCGCTCTCTCTCCCTCTCTCGCTCTCTCTCTCACTCTCTCTCTCTCTCTCTGTCTCTCTCTCTCTCTCTCTGTCTGTCTGTCTGTCTGTCTAAACCCTAAACCCTAAACCCTAAACCCTAAACCCTAAACCCTAAACCCTAAACCCTAAACCCTAAACTAAATCCCAAACCTTCTGGAGCTTACCGAAGCTTGGTCAGCTCGGGATGGTTTTGGATCGGGTTTAGGGTCGGCCCGTGAGGTGGAATTCAAGAGGGAAGCCTTCAAGCATCAAAACCTGAGAGCACCCTGAGAACCTAAAACTCCTAAACCTTCACACCCGAAAACCTCATAAGTCCTTAAACCCGAAGACTAACCCTAAGCCCGAAACCCTGAACCCTAGACTCTAAACCCTAAACCCTAAGCCCTAAACCCTAAACCTAATCTTGGTTGAACACTAAACCGCTCGACCCTATGCCTCAACGTCCTCCCTCGTCTCAGAGCCCCATGGCCCGAGCTGAGCTGAGCCGAGAGCCCTCGGGCCCTGAATCGACTTACAGAGCCCCCAAATACTCCAAGTTTAGGGTTTAGGGTTTAGGGTTTAGGGTTTAGGGTTTAGGGTTTAGGGTTTAGGGTTCAGCAGCTCCGGATCGAGCAATTTTATGGTAGTGTTATATTTACGGCTTGGATATGACACCCACCCACCCAGAGAATCCCATAACATTAAGAAACCATATAAAGTATCTTCATACAAAAAGTTCCTTTCAACGAAGACTACGGCTACAAAGCCTCGCGAAGCTCCCACCCTCATACGGGGTTTAGGGTTTAGGGCTTAGGGTTTCGGGCTTGGGGTTTAGGATTTCGGGTTTAGGGTTTAGGGTTTCTGTTTTGTAGCGGGTTCTTATTAGGGTACCTAGGGGCTATCTTAAGATATAAGGGTAACAGATACAGAGGCCACCGGCCTTTGTAACTCATATGCCCCATAAATTTAAATCCCTAGCAGCCCTCAGAAACCAAATTTCCCTGTAAGCCCTTCCCCGATAAGCCACGATAAACTCCACAAAGCACTCCAAGCCAGTATCAACCCCTATAAGCTTCTAAAAACCCTATGAAAAATAAAACCTATAAACCCTATTAAAGCAAAAAAACTAAAAAAGAACCCTAAGAGCCACTAAGCATGCCCTTTTGCTGTTTTCCAAAAAAACAACCGATAAACCCTCATAAAAACCCAATAAACAAACCCTACAAACCTCAAAAAATACCCTTTATTTATGCCCTTAAAATGCTAAAAAGCTCCTAAGTGAAAACTAGACTGATACACCCCTCTTAAAGCCCTAACACAGCCTCATCCCTAGGCCCTGGCACCACATCCCCCCATGCCTGGGGTCTAGGGTTTAGGGTTTAGGTTACTAGCCCCTTCAAGTGGGGGGTATATACACATTATATACCCCATAAACCCAAGCGAACCTTTTTTCAAACAAGGTCAGGGGCTGTATTGAGGGACCGTGTACCTGCCAGTGAGCTGCTCATCCCTGTCTTCTCAGGCAATGGCACGCCTGAGGCTCCAGTGCGAGCAGGCGAAGTGCAAATTGTCCATCACCGAGGAGACCCCTTCCCGGTTTAGGGTTTAGGGTTTAGGGTTTAGGGTTTAGGGTTTAGGGTTTAGGGTATAGGGTGGAATTTCTGTTGTTTTTTGGAAGTGCATAGGGCTTCTGAGCGAATTTCGTGTTGTGTTGCAAGTCACTAAGTCTCAGTTTGGGGTTATCTATTGAGGTTTCGGGTCTTGTTGGGGTGTGTAGGTTTTTGTTGTGAGTTTAGGGGTTCAGGGTTTTGATATTCTTTACTCGTTTATCTATATTATCATTACCATCGTTGACTAAGTATTTTGTTTTTTTTGTTGGGGGGGGGGGGGGGGGGCTGGGGCGTGGTTAAGTTCTATTCTAGGGTTATAATATAGTTAGAGGTTGTAGACCAAGCAGCTTGACGGCGTACGCGATTCTGCTCTGGGTGCATGCTATGGGGGTGCTGCTCTGCGTTAGCAAGGCCTCGAGGATGCAAGCATGCATGAGGCTTTTCATCTGTGTGTTCCCGAAACCCTACACATAGAGGGTTTATGGTTTAGGGTTCAGGATTTAGGGTTTAGGATTTAGGGTTCAGGGGTTAGGGTTTAGGTTTTCGGTTTTAGGGTTTCGGCACCTTCAAATTTGGGCTAGCCCTACACACCCAGAGCCCTTAATTTCCGTCAACTCGAAGTCCTTTACTATACCCTAGACCCTAGACCCTAAACCCTAAACCCTAAACTATACCTAGACCCCAAGTCGTACCCGTGAGCCTGTGAACCGCTGCTAACTCTGGATGATCTTGAGTAGGAGCACTTTTTAACACCCTGTAAGCTTTTCTCTCCCATGGAGGATATAGGGTTTAGGGTTTCTCCTCTTGAGGAGTGAACTCAGATGCAACATCCCCTCATTCCCTAAACCCTAACCCACTAAACCCTTAACCTAGCCCTAGACCCTAAAACCTCGTCAAAGGAGGCGTACATCGAGCTAGATGCTTTCGTGGATGGGTGCCTCGGCTTAGGGCTTTTCAGGATTTAGGGTTTAGGGTTTAGGGTTTAGGGCCTGGCAGCCGCAGCCGAGGCTGGACTACTGCAAGAAGCTGACGCGGGCAGACTTCGAGAAGCTGGCCGCAGAGTGGTTCCACAAGATCCTGGAAGTCGTCGCGTCGTGCCTGGAGGCTGCCCACCAAAACCCTTAAAATAAGGAATATACCTTGGGTTCCTATTATGATTTAAGGCATATTCCTCAATTAAGAGGTTTTGGAGTCTCTGGGTGCCCGTACCTCTTGTGTTGGACGTATGGGTTATAGCTTTTTTTTCGCAGAGCCTGCACACCCGAAACCCTGCGTCCTGAACATCAAACCCTTAAACATCAAACCCTTAAACCAGAGGCCCTAAGCCCCTACGCTCACTCATGTGCCCTTCGAGACGTGCCTTGCGGTGGCTGTTAAGCATGCAGAGGTCCAGGGTTTTGCATTGGGGTTTGGGCTTGGGTTTGAAGGCTGAAAGTTCTTGACTCGGGGTTAGGGTTCAGGCGCCAGGGTTTAGGGTTCTTAGGACTTAGCGTTTCGGGGTTAGGGCTGCAGGGCAGGAAAGCACCCGATTCGGGCTTGCTGGGGCATCTTGAGTTGTTAGTTTCAGGCCCTGAACCCCGAAACCCTAAACCCCCCGAAACCTTAAACGCCCTAAACCCTAAACCCTAAACCCTAAACCCTAAACCCTAAACCCTAAACCCTAAACCCTAAACCCTAAACCCTAAACCCCCAAAAGCCCCTAGACCCTCAACCAAGAGGTGCCAGGGTCTGAGGTTTTTTTTTGCTCGGAGCCGTCTTCCGGCTCAGTCCGTATAGGGCTCCAAAGGATGCTCGGGTGTAGGGGTTTTAGGGTTTTAGGGTTAGGGGTTCAGGGTTTAGGGTTAGGGTTTAGGGTTTAGGGTTAGGGGTTTAGGGTTTAGGGGTTTAGGGGTTTAGGAGTTTAGGAGTTTAGGAGCTTAGGCGTTCAGGAGCTTAGGAGTTTAGGAGTTGGCAGGACGCTGGGGTCGCTCGAGACGCTGTGGATGCTCCCTGGCTCCAGACAACTCGGACGCAGAGTAGGCCCCGGTTCCCTTTGTTTGGGTTTATATAGGGTTTAGGGTTTAGGGTTTAGGGCTACTAGGACCCAGAGTAGGCCCGATTTCCCTTTTTTCAGGGTTTGGGTTCCCTTAGAACTCCTGTAAGCCAAAATACTGAAACCCCTTTTCATTCCCAGGCTACGCTTGGGTCTAGACAAGATACTTGTGTTTGAAGCTGCAGGCCATGCTCCATGCCCAAGTTTTCAGGGGTGATGTTCTGTCATGTACTTGGGGTTTCATGGGTACTCATAAATAAGTAAGGTTCTGAGTAGCTTAACTATGATGCCGACTTTTTTGGGGTACTTCTAACCACCCACCAGGGTTTAGGTTTTGGGGCTTAGGGCTTTGGGTTTAGGGCAACACATCCCCGCGCAACTCAAAAATAGCTACTCGCAGTTGTTGCCCGCGACGTCGCGGACCTCATTTAAAACTCACTAAGGCTTACCTGGGGCCCTATTTACCTGCAGTTTAAGGGTTATACCTACAAGATAGATCGAGGTACTACCGAAACACCAAAGCCCAAAAAACACACACTCAACATAGTGTACCCGATGGGCTTGAACCCTAACTCTGACCCCAGCAACCCCCCCCCCCACCCCAAAGCTGTACACGCATTAAAGTCCTTGAAGTCCTGAAAGCCCTTCAAGCCCCGAAACCCTAAACCCCAAACCTTCAACCCTAAACCCTAAAACCTTGTTTCAACCCTAAACCTTAAACATTACACCCAAAAAACCCAAAACCCCAAACCCTAAGCCTCGAAACCCCGAGGCCCTAAACCCCCAGAACCCACTTGGAGGTTCATGGGTACTTCTAACCATTTTTAGTCGTATTATAACTATTATGAGTATTATTATTATTATGATTATTATGATGATGATGATGATGATTCTTATTATTATTGTTATTATGATGAAAAAAGTATTATATCCCCAATCATATCTCTACTTATGACCTACTTAAAGGAGACTTCGGGGGGCTTCTAAGTACAGTTCGTCCCAGTGACATGGCGCGGCTCGAGGCTGTTCTACCCGTTGGGGGCGCCACTCGCATCCCCAAGGCTGATCAGTTCAGCTGGGGTATGGAGTTTATGTTTAGGATTTAGGGTTTAGGGTTTAGGGTTTAGTGTTTAGGACTTAGGGTTTAGGACTTAGGGTTTAGGGTTTAGGCTTTAGGGTGGAGGAGAGAAGGGGGGGGGGGGGGGAGGACCTTGTCCATTACACAGGGATTGGGGTTTGTCGCGGTTTAGGGGGTGTATGTAGGGTTTTTAGGGTTTTGGGCTTGTTGTATTTGCCATGTTTTGTATTGCTAGGCTTTTCGGGTTTCGAGTGTAGGGCTCATGGGTTATGGTTTCGGGTCAGAGTTCGGGGGCTTTGGGGGTTTTACGACCCTAAACCCCAAACCCTACACCCGTGAGAATGACATTCGGAGAGGCTGGGTATCAAGACTTTGGGTTCCGGGCCATCGGGCCCTTCGCTAGAACCTTTCCTTTTTTGGGTTTTAGTGAGGTCAGGTGCCCAACAAATCCCCAACCCCATCTAACCCCCCCTAAACCCTAAACACATCCTAAAAGCCCATCGTCCTACAAACCCGATATAACACCACAGGTTACCCATATACTGGCTAACCCTTTTGTCCACCTAAGGCATCCGTGTCATCAACCCTCAGCCCAAAGAAGCTTCCTGGCACCACAGGTCCGGGAAATCCTGGCTGACTACTTCGGCAAGCAGCCGCAACTCTGTCAGATCTCAGAAATTCCACCTGGAGTCTCTCATGTAGTCCCTGTTTGGGTTAGTTAGAGGGGATTCTAGTATACTAACCCAAAAAGGTACTACATAGGAGCGTTTAGGTAGGCTGTAGGGTTTAAGGTGTTTTGCTTTCTCGTTTTGGGGGCCTTAGGGTTTTGTCTGTCTTGAGTTATGGGGTTTAGGTTTGTTTGTAGGATTAGGGTTGGCTGATGAGGGTTTCAGGGCTTTGGGGCGCACCTGGGGTCGTATGAAGACCTAACACACTCAGACAAGAAACCCTCAAAGAGCCTTAAGAAAAGGTTTAGTATTTAGGGTTAACCCTCGAACCCTCAAACCCTGAAACCCTCAAACCTTCAACTTCAACCGTTAAAGCCTTCAACCTTTGAGCCCTGAAGCCCGGAACTCCTAAACCCTCAGAACCGGACCCCGACTGCCGACGCCAACTGAAGGCAGCTCGCCCCACACTCCCGAAGCCCAGAAAGCCTACCACCCAAAAACCCTAAACCCTACACCCTCAACCCTCAACCCTAAACCCTAAACCCAAAACGCTAAACCCAAAACGCCACACCCTGATACATCGAAACGAACACTCCAAGTTCGGGCTTTGTTAGACACACCCAAGCCCTCCCAAACCCTGAACCCCAAACCCCCAACCCTGAACCCCAAACCCTAGACCCTAAATCCTAACCCCTAAACCCTAAACGCTAAACCCTAAACCCCAGACCCCTGAACCCCAATCCCTAAACTCTAAACCCGAAACCCGAAACCCTAAACCAAGTCCAGGTAACAGAGTTTGGGATGGCGACCTTGGCCCCCCCTTGAAGCTCCCCAAAACCCCCATTGCAAAGGACACTTTTGACTCCGAAAGCTCCCCCGGGTTTAGGGTTTAGGGTTTAGGGTTTAGGTTTAGGGTTTAGGGTTTAGGGTTTAGGGTTTAGGGTTTAGGGTTTAGGGTTTAGGGTTTAGGGTTTAGGGTTTAGGGTTTAGGGTTTAGGGTTTAGGGGCTTAGGCTTCCTTAGAACCTAATCTCAGACTGTGAGAAGTCGCTGAAAAGCCTACAACCGGCCGTATTCGGGCTGGAAGAAAGCCTGACCCTAAACCTTATGAAGCCTTAACCCTAAACCCCTCAACCTCCGCAAGCCTGACACACCCTAAACCCGAAACCCGAAACCTGAACCCTAAACCCTAAACCCTGAACCCTGAACCCTAAACCCCCTGAGACAAAAAAAAAAAAAGCACCCAAAGCCCCGAGTCCGGGAGGTACTCCGGCCTCGACCCTGACGAGGTCGTCGCTCGCGGCGCCGCTGCGCAGGAGCAGCGAAGTCGGGTTTAGGGTTTAGGGTTTAGGGTTTAGGGTTTAGGGTTTAGGGTTTAGGGTTTAGGGTTTAGGGTTTAGGGTTTAGGGTTTAGGGTTCAAGTGTGGGTGGGCATAGCACAACCTACATCTCCAAATTTCCCTGCTGTCTGGGTAGACGGTATGCAGCTTTGTTCGAAGTTTGGAGCAGTGCATGTGCGTACCCAAATGTCCCTTATCTGCAGAAATACACTTTGTAAGGTACAGGGTTCCCTCGGGCTCCTGAGCCTTACAGCTTATAAACCCCAAACATCAATCGGCGGCTGTACTTTTCATGGTGGTTGTGTTTTGTTCCATTGAGCAGGTTCAAAAGACCTCAGGCCCCGTAAACCCTAAACCCTAAACCCTAGACGACCTGTGAGATCCTTGAATAGGTCCCCCGCCCCCCTCCCTCCCAGCACAAACTCAACCTGCAAATGCCCAAAAACCGATACAGGCCCTATGAGTTGGGATGTTCCTCCTTATACTAGCAGTCCTTATTAGAATAGGGGGTATAATCCCTAGGCAGGACTAGTAGTATTAGGGCGAACATCCCAGCCTATAAACCCTGTTACTATGTGGCCTGTAAACCCTATAAACCTCTTAAACCCAGCACACCACAAAGCCCTGCAAGCTCTAGAAGCCCTGGACCCTAATACCCGAGAAGGCCTAAAGTCCCTATAAGGCCCTAGAAAGCCCTAACCCTAAACCCTAAACCCTAAACCCTAAACCCTAAACCCTAAACCCTAAACCCTAAACCCTAAAGAACCCGGAGTCCCATGATTCCTATGAGCCATACAAGCAATGAACCCTAAACTCTTTGTCTCTCTGTCACTCTGTCTCTTTCTCACTCTCTCCTCCCTAAACCCTAAACCCTACACCCTCTTACTCTCTCTCTCTCTCTCTCTGTCTCTCTCTCTCTCTCTCTCTCACGCTCCTCTCCCTCTCCCTCTCCCTCTCCCTCTCTCCCCCTGTCCCTCTCTCCCCCTCTCTCCCTCTCTCCTAAACCCCAAACCCGAAACCCCAAACCCCAAACCCCAAATCCTAAACCCCTAAAACCCCCCCCCCCCCCCCCCCCCCTGAGAGGCTGCCATCCTCTCGGGCACATTCCGGGGCGGAAGCCCGGCCATCCGCTCCCCGGAGCCAACTTCTTTTAGGGTGCCTCTAGGGGCCTTTAGGGGTCCGATTTAGGGTTTCTTGTTTAAGGTTTCGGGCTTCTGATTTTAGGTTTAGAGTGCATTTTTTGGGGGTTTAGGGTTTAGGGTTTAGGGTTCAGGGTTCAGGGTTTAGGGTTTAGGGTTTAGGGTTTGGGCTTATGATTCAGAATTCAGGGGTTAGGGTTTAGGATTTAGGCATTGGGAAGGCTTGCGGTCTGGGATCTTTGTTTGGTTGAGCAGGGGCCAGTTGTTTAGGGTACAGGGGTCTTGGGGATTTTGCTTGGGAGGAGGGGTTTAGGTGTGGGTGTTGTAGACGTGTGTGTGTGTGTGTGTGCTAAACCCCAAACCCCAAATCCCAAACCCCAAATCCCAAACCCCAAACCCCAAACCCCAAACCCCAAACCCTAAACCCTAAACCCCAAACCCTAAACCCCAAACCCTAAGCCCTTAAACCCTTAAACCCACCCAAAAAGCCAAAGCCAAGGACCCAGTTTGCCTTGGAATCTTCTGCTGGAGAAGCACACCTCTGAGCGAAGGGTGGCCTCCTGGCTCCTATAAGGGCCCCAAAAAAAGGTTTAGGGTTTAGGGTTTGGGGTTTAGGGTTTACTGGCAGGATACTTTGTTCTTGGGCTTCTCTCCCCCCCAAGACCCGATTCATATACAACCAGTATTAACATCAAAAAGTAAGCATAGTATATCTATTTATATAGGTTTCCGAAACTAGGTTCAAGGTTCGTGGGTTTTGAGGTTAGCGTTCCTGTGTTGTTCTTCAGGGTCAGGTTTCTTGTTAAGCCACAGTGCGGCCTTCCGAAAGAGACCATCATCTAGGGAACTGGCCGGCTCACCAAGCACCTGAACTGGGTAATTATTGCTGTGGGATAATTTTGAGTTTTCCTTCTTTCCCTTTTAAGGTACCCTACTCACAAATAATTCTCAAAGGGCTTTAAAGCAACATCCAGCGAGTGCCCAAAGACCCAAAGCGCGCCTGGACCTTCGATTGTAATTAGTAGTTACGATTTCGGGTGCCCTCCTTAGCAAGTTTGCCATTCACATCTCAACCGTGGATGGGGTACCCTGAGCCCTGACTTGCTGAAGGGCCTTGACTGCCACGAGCCCTGTAAGCTGAACCCCTAAACATGCAGGTCATTGCAAGGAACACCCGTCTGCCAGTGCAGAGCTGCTGTACCCTAGTGACCCGGAGACGGTTTCAGACCCATGTTGCTCGAGCTTCAGGGATTGGGAGTTAGGGTTTGAGGAATATAGGGTTTAGGGTTTGCGGGATACCTGGTTTATGGTTCTGGGATATAGGGCTTGGGGGCCAGGGCCTGGACATAGGGTTCAGCGGGTTTTGTAAGGTCCAGCAGGGACCTCCAAGATCTGATAAACACGTCACAGCGTTAACTTGGGTTGTAGAATTCCGAAAGAGGCTCAGCTAGTGTTGGAGGATCGTGCCCTGGCACCCCCTCCCTCGCGCGCCTGTCGCCTTCCCTAAACCCTAAACCCCTAAACTCTAAACCCTAAACCCCCCTAAACCCGAAACCCTAAACCCTGAACCCTAAACCCTCAACCCTACACCCTAAACCCTAAACCCTAAACCCCAAACCACAAACCCCAAACCCTAACGCAGCGTCACCCATTGTGCCTGCTCTTGGAGCTGTCGTGGAGCTTTTGCGGAGTGCTCTTTTCGGTGCTCTGGATAATTCTCTTGAAGTGGTGACACTGTTTGTTGGGGGTCTACGCCAAAGCGTTTTTTCAGGGTTCAGGGTTGATGAAGGTTTCGGGCTGCTGGACCTGAAGCCCTAAACCCTATGATGGACCCAACAGTTGGGATGTTCCCCCTTATACTAACAGTCCTTAATAGGGCTTAGAGTAAGGGCTGTTAGTAGAAGGGAGCATCCCAACCCAACGGCCTCCACAGACCTGAAGCCCACAGAGTGACGGTGCCATCAGGAACCAAGCGACGTCTCTTGGCATCGCCACAGTGAAGCCGGCACCACTCGGTCCTGCCTGCGCCTCGCCGGGTCGGGTGATGAACTTTGTATAGGGGTCGGAGGACTTGCTCATAATTTTCCCGTATGCTCCCTACAATTATACTGTAATAACCCCCCCCCGCCCCCGACCCAAAAACCTATTCCAATTATTAAGGCTCTTACACTAGGCCTCCCCTTTAAACTAAAAAGGGCACCCTTCTTATTCCTAGGTTACTCTTGGGTCTAATGAAGCTTTTCAGGAAGCGGATTTTGGTTTTCGGCGTCTAGGGTTTACGGTTCGTTGGGTTTAAGGGTCTAGGAGTTAAGGGTCCAGGGAGGTTTACAGCGTTCGGGCCTAGCCAACAGTAAGAAAGAGGTGGCTCTACCAAGACTCCGTCTTCTTCGGGGCGGTGGTGTTTGACCGGACTCCGACCAAGGCAAGCTCTGAAGCTCTGCATGAATCTCCTTCCCCCTGTCAGTTTAGGGTTAGGGTGTAGGGTTTAGGGTTTATAGGGTTTAGGGTTTAGGGTTTAGGGTTTAGGGTTTAGGGTTTAGGGTTTAGGGTTTAGGGTTTAGGGTTTAGGGTTTAGGGTTTAGGCCCGCCCCCCCCCCCCCCCCAGCCCTTGCTGCCCAAAAAGGAGGGTTTTAGGCTGTAGGGTTTAGGGCTTAGGGCTTCGGGTTTAGGGTTGAACAAGCAAAAGCTACAACACGGATGAGCCCCCAAAAAAGTCCTAAGCCCTGAGCCCTAAACGAATCAGAGTCTCAGAGTCTGCAGCCGCATCCTCGGCTGCTGAGTGGGTGCAGTTAGCTAGGGCTTCGGGCTTATGCTGAAGCACCTTCCCACAAACAAAAACGAACAAAAAGGAACATAAAATGATATGCTCCTCCTTGTAAGGGGTAATATAGGGATTATTGTCTTTTGCGTTTTTGGGGTTCTTAAGCAAGTAGTATTTTAACCATTTGGAGTGTTTGGGGTTTAGGGTCTATAGGCCGTAAGCCCGAAAAGCCCTGAACCCTAAACCCTAAACCCTAAACCCTAAACCCTAAACCCTAAACCCGAGAAAGCACAAAGCAACCTTAAGCCCCTAAGCCGAGCGAGAGGCTTTCGAGCTCCATTTCGGCTGCGACATGCACTGCCGCATCACCATCACGGTAGGCCAGGGTCGGCGTTATGTGAATGACGGCTTAGGGTGTAGGATATGGGGCCTTAAGGTGTAGGGTTTGGGGTTTCACGGTTTAACGGGGTTCAAGAATTAGGGTTCGGGGAAACCCTAAGCGTTTTCAGTCTGTTGGGGCTTGAGTGTTTAGGCTTCGTGGCCTCTGGGCTTTCTTTAGGGCTTGAGGGCTTTCTTGCCTTAGGGATTCAAGGCCTTATGCGGTTGGCTGTTTGAAGGCTTTCTGGCTGTGGCACTTCAACCGGGATTTATCAGGGAGGACCTTCCTGGAGGGGCTGCTGTTGAATCACCCGCAACCGACATCTTGCCCCGAACTTCCCAAAACCACATGTGGAGAGGATGTTGGGGGGGGGGGGGGCGAGGGTGGTGCTCTGAACCTTAAACATTCTTCAACAACGACATCTTGCCCCGAACTTCCCAAAACCACATGTGGAGAGGATTGGGGGGGGGGGGGGTGGTGCCCTGAACCTTAAAGCTTCTTCAACAAAAATGGACCATTGACTCCCGTCAAAGAGACTCCCTACTACAAAAAAGCAACCCTACCTTATGGAGAGGTGTTTTCAACGACAATCGTCATACCATCCCTGCCAGTCCGCTCTGAACCATCCAAGATCTCTTGGTAAATCCATAGGGGGGGGGAGGGGGTGGGGGGGGGGGGGGGGTTGGGGGGGGCTGGTGGGTTTACAGAACAGGAGGAATTTTTTTAATTCCTAGGCGACTGACGGATCCCAGCATCATGTTCGGGACAACACAGAACTGAGCCCAGCCATAAACAGCGCCTGTGGAGGCTTCCCTGGCGAAGATCCAGACTCGTCGCGCTGTTGCATTCTGAAGAGAGTGTACATCCAAAGGCCTACAAAGCCCTACAAAGCCATATAAAACCTTTAAGCCCTAAACCCCACTCCCTGCTTCAGATTTGGAGTGAGCCGAAGCTCAACCTTTGTTGAACCCCAAAAAGCTAAAGCCTCAGTCTCGCCTTTCTTGTCATCGTTTCTAAGTGGTATAGGGTTTGGGGTTTAGGGCATCCCCATGCCCTCCACCGCCGACAGCAACCCTAAACCCTAAACCCTAAACCCTAAACCCTAAACCCTCAACCCTCAACCCTCAACCCTCAACCCTAAACCCTAAACCCTAAACCCTAAACCCTAAACCCTAAACCCTAAACCCTAAACCCTAAACCCTAAACCCTAACCTCAGAGTCGGTAAGAAGCAGCACGCTACGGGCACCGGTAACCCTCAACCGAAAGCCTGCCGTGTCTGAAGAGGTGGGGCGCCCCTATGTAAGCGCTTAAGGGAAGGGGGATGCCCCTAATTTGCCTACTTCCCCACAAAGGGCCAGACCCTAAACCCTAAACCCTAAACCCTAAACCCTAAACCCTAAACCCTAAACCCTAAACCCTAAACCCTAAACCCTAAACCCTAAACCCTAAACCCTAAACCCTAAACCCAGACAGTTAGGGCCCAGGTCCCACCTAGATTCAGAACCCTATGCCGCAGGTCAAGAACCATCCTCATGGACCCCTAAGTCGAGCCTCTCGCATGGATCGTCCGCAGGACCAGTTGCATAAACCCGAAACCTGCCCAAACCCTAAACCCAGAAGCCTAAACCCTAAAACCCTTGAAGCCCCTTAAACCCCTTGAAGCCCTCCCAAGGCCCTTGAAGCCCCTTAAGGCCTTTGTAAACGCCTTACACGATATAAGCCCTAAACCAAAACCGCCGCAACTACCCCCCAAACCCCCTTGAGACCCCTTAAAGGCCCTGAAGGCCTTTTAACCCCAAACCCTAAACCCTAGACCCTAAACCCAAAGCCCTAAACCCTAAACCCCAAACCCTAAACCCTAAACCCCAAACCCTAGCCCTAAACCCTAAACCCTAAACCCCAAACCCTAAACCCTAAACCCTAAGCCCTGAACCCAATCCCCAAGGTCGCCAGAGGCCCGCTTCGAGCGGGCGCGCAGTGGGCTTAGCGCCGCGGAGCTCCTTGGATCCTCAGGGAGCTCTACCTTGGACCCCTATGGCGGTTCGGGGTTTAGGGTTTAGGGTTTAGGGTCTAGGGTCCAGGGTCTAGGGTTTAGGGTTTAGGGTTTACCCCTTGACCCTGTCTAAAAGAGGCCTAGAGTAATATACGGGCCCTATTAGGAGTAACGCTTAGGGCTTCGGGTTTCGGGTGTAGGGGGCTTAGTGTGCAATTTTTCGGGGAGGGTTGGTTTAGGGTTCGGGGTTTAGGGTTTCAAGGTTCAGGACCCCTAAGTGCCAAGACCTCAGACTCGAACTTAGCCAGCGATCTGAAACCCTAAGACCCCCAAAATCCCTCAGCCCGACTAACCCTAAAGCCCTCGCCCAAATGGGGGTTTTCGAAAATAAGGGACCCCTCATATAGACCCCCACAGAATGGGATTCCCTTGTACTCAAGACCCCCAAAGAGGTAGCCAAAAATGTCGGAAACCCCAAATGAACGAAGAGGTCGGGCTCTCAGTCCTCATGCTCCTAGCACAAGCCCGTAGAAGGTTCCGGTGCATCGAAGGGTCTGCCCTAACAACCCCCAACATAATTTAGGGTTTAGGGTTTGGGGTTTAGGGTTTCGGGTTTAGGGTTTAGGGTTTAGGGTCTAGGGTTTAGGGTTTGGGGTTTAGGGTTTCGGGTTTAGGGCTTAGGGTCTAGGGTTTAGGGTTCAGGGTTCAGGGTTAGGGATACCCTTTGTCGCACATCGAGGGGGTGCCTGGGGGCTGCAGGCCTTCCACACGAAGCCCTGAAACATGAACCCCAAACCTGACCTTCAAGCCAGAAGCCTTCACCCGCCCTTGCCCCAGTAAAAGAGCACGAAATACAGGGTTCATAGGGGGGTTTGTGGGATAAGAACCGTAGGCCCTAGAGCCTAAACCCTAAACCCCTAACCCCTAAACCCTAAACCCTAAACCCTAAACCCTAAACCCTAAACCCTAAACCCTAAGCCCCAACCCTCTTAGGACCTAGACTCATGCAGCCTCTGAGCCCTGAAAGGCTGGCCGAGTTGACAAGGAAGGTCTCTCTTTGGAAGCGCCTCGAGCTGCACGAGCCGGAGGCTTCCAACCCGGTTTAGGGTCTAGGGTTTAGGGTTTAGGGTTTAAGGTTTAGGGTTTAGGATTTAGGGTTTAGGGTTTAGGATTTAGGGTTCAGGGTTTGCATGAATAGCTCAAGCTAAAAGCCCTACTCGGATCCCCTCCTAGAATTTGAGGACCCCGACCCCCCACCCCCCACCACTGGCAGAATAGTCTTTAAGTCACACCAAGGATAAGCCTGACTAAGGCTATTCAATGGGGGAACCCCGGGGTGTAGTAACTCGGGTAGTTTTGAGGGGGGGGGGTGGTAGGGGAACCCATGCGGCCCTAAACCCTAAACCTTAAACCCTGAACCCTAAACCCTAAACCCTAAACCCTAAACCCTAAACCCTAAACCCTAAACCCTAAACCCTAAACCCTAAACCCTAGGTTGTTGGCGGGGTGAACTTGAAGGTTCATCGTTACTCATGACTACGGTTGTCCCCTATAACCGACAAGTACCCTAAGCAGGATTTAGGTGTTAGGGTTGTAGCCATAGCTGGCCCCCCTAGTTCTAAGTACCCTCGACCCTCAAAACTACTAGGCATTTCGCGGACCCTAAACCCTAAACCCTAACCGCTCTTAACCCTAAACGCCCTAAACCTCAACGCCCCAAACCCTAAACGTCCTAAACCCCTAAACCCTCCTGAGGTTTAGGGTTGAGGGTGCAGAAATTCTATGGACCCCTCTTCTAGCAGAGCCTTCTTGTCTCAGCATCCCAGGCCCTAGACCCTAAACTTGCAGCGTGGGTTTTTTGGCAGATTGCCGCGCACGAACGCCGAGATTAGGCCTTGTGTCCAGCAAGCCGAGCAGCAAACGTAAACCTCAAACCCTAAGCCCTAAACCCTAAACCCCAAACCCTAAAGCCCTAGACACGATCCAGTCGAACCTCGCAAAAGGACAAGAAGAAGCTTGAGACTGTGGTTCGGCGGGTCGAACAAACCCTAAGCCCTAGACCCTAAAAGGCCCTAAACCTACAAACCCTACAAACCCTAGACCCTACAAACCCTGAACGCTACAAGCCCTAAACCCTACAAACCCTACAAACCATACACCCTACAAACCCTGAACCCCCGTCTTGTTGTCAAGGAAGGAGTACCTTCAGCAGGATCCCGTCATCATGAACCGCCTCAGGGATGTGCAGGACATTGCTAGTTTAGGGCTTTTAGAAGCACTAGAGTCCTAATATAGGGGTCGGAATAGTTACTAATAGTATTCCCTTAGGGTCCCTGTATAGGTATGCTATAATAACCGCCCCAAACCCTATTCTAATTATTCAGGCCCCTAGAGTAGGGTTTTCGGGTTCTAGGAGTCGAGGCTTGAGGGGCTGGGCTCAGGGAGATGTTCTTTCGGCGCCCTTGCTTTTGGAGGTGGGGCTCGTTGCTAGCGTGCCTTCCTCCCAGAGTTGACTGAAGGCTTGAAGGGCTAAGGTTTTAGGATTTAGGGTTTAGGGTTTAGAGTTTAGGGTTTGGTGTTTAGGGTTCAGGGTTTAGGTTTTAGGGTTTAGGGTTTGTGGTTTGGGGTTTAGGGTTTAGGATTTCTTTCCCGGGTGTTTAAAATTTCCCCCACCCCCCAATCTGCACCCTGATAAAGTTCACTTTAACGAGTGTTGCTTCAGGGTAGACTGAACCCTAAACCCCAAACCCCAAACCCCAAACCCTGGAGCATCCCTGTGGCTTTCAATGCACCGGAATGAAGCCATGTTCTTCAGAAGAGGAGTTCGGGTTCTTATTTCTGACTAAAGGCACCCTCAGGGTACGGGAGGCTCTATAAACCTACAAGCCCTAAGCATATCTCTAAAGCCTGAAGGCTTCACTACCGTATCCTGTGGAGGTTGTGCTTGTTGTGTACGGCACACCTTAGGGAAAGTTTACAAGTAGAACGATTCCTTGAACCCAAGCCTGCAGGTGCAGCAGGGTTTAGGGTTTAGGGTTTAGGGTTCTATAATAAGGACTTTTGCCAAACCCGAAGCCCTCTAACCAGAGCCAAATCTGCTGCATGATGGAAAACCTGCCCTTGCTAGCGAATCAGACTTTAGCGAACTGTCATAGGGGATTTCGTAGCTTGGGTGTGAGGCCGCAAGCCCCCCAAAATCCTCACAACCCTAAAACCCTAAACGCATGAAGCCTCAACCGCAACCTTCCCCCTCCCTCCCCAAACCCCCAAACCCCAAAACCCCATAACCCCGAAGCCCCAAACCCCTAGTCCCCAAAGCCTTTACCCAAAACCCGAAACCCTAAACCCCGAAACGCCAAACCCCAAGCCACAAGCCCTAAACCCTAAACCCTAAACCCTAAACCCTAAACCCTAAACCCTAAACCCCAAACCCCAGGACGACCCCACCTACTGGGCTATTGTGGTGGGGCAGCTCAAGAGCTTCTACCAGGCAGGGCCCTCGCAGTAGGGGAGGCCCCGGTTGTAGGTCGGGTTTAGGGTTTAGGGTTGAGGGCTTGGGGTTTAGGGTTTAGGGTTTAGGGTTTAGGGTTTAGGGTTTAGGGTTTAGGGCTTAAGTTTCAGGGTTTAGTCACTTTCAGAGTTGTTAGGAAGTTCCGGCTTTGTCCAGTTACTTGTAGGCTCACGGGTTCCTACAAGCAGGGTTAGAAGTACCCGAAATTAAGGTTACAACTTTTCGCCTTGCTAAAAACCCTCCATACTGGAGGGCCTTGCTGCAGCTACGAAGATGTTTCTCGAGGACATCTACTTCAGAAGCGTACTCCTGATGCAGCAGGGAAAAGGCCACATCCTGCATTTTCCCTAAACCCTAAACCCTAAACCCTAAACCCTAAACCCTAAACCCTAAACCCCAAACCCTAAACCCTAAACCCTAAACCCTAAATGAAAACTATACCGTTTGACGACTCTTCCATGGCGAAGCTGCGGGAGGAGAAGACGGATGCGCCGTTTGACAATGTGGGGTGGGATGTTCACGTCCAGAACCTGAGGAGCGGCGGATTCTCAACGGCCACAAGACCCTCCTTGAGCAGGTACACGTGAATCCATGCTAGTGCTGACGCCATAAACCTCCAAGTAGGGTTTGGGGTTTAGGGTTGAGGGGTTAAGTTTAGGGCTTATCGGTTTGAGGTTTCGGGTTTAGGGTTCAGGGATTCAGGATTTTGGGTTTTAGGGGACTCCAATACCCCCTAAGTAAGGAATATTCCTTACAGTGTAAAAGTCTTCCTTGTATGTTTTAAGGAATATTCCTTAGTTAAGGGGGAGGGGGGGTTATAGGGATACGAGATTAGGGGTGTGGGGGCCATAGGAGGACCAAGGGTGAATTGCAGCATCTCCCTGTCCAGGTCGTTAAGCTCTGGCCCAGGAAGGCCAATTTAGGGCTTGGGGTTTAGGGTTTATTGTAAGTGGGCAACCCCTAAACCCCCCTAAAGCCGACCTGTAGCTCAGAACACCTACCTTCTTAGGGGTCCCTTATTATGATTTCCTTCTATATCCCGTTAAAACGGTCGCTTGTTTGGGCTACAGGTATAACTTGTCTACCCCAAATCCCAGAAGCCCTAAGCGCAAAGAGCCAGAAAGTATCTGTTTTGAGGGTTGGCAAGGTTGCTTCCACAAGGGGGGGGGGGGGGGGGGGCGGTTCTTAGGGGCCCGAGTGACCTGCGTAGCAGGTCCTTGGTCCTTCCCTTCTTCTAGGCCTAAACCCTAAACCCTAAACCCTAAACCCTGAACCCTGAACCCTAAACCCTAAACCTTAAACCCTAAACCCTAAACCCAAAGCCACTTGAAAGGATATCAAACACGATCTTGACGACTACTGCCAAAGCCACCATCGAGACGAGGCTGCTTGGGAAGAGCACTTAGGGACCTCGTGGAAGAGCACTTAGGGACCTCGTTTCGTTGCAAGTGAGACAGAGGCTCTTGAAGAAGGGGCGGGTGCTGGTCTGAGAAACTCTGGCCCTAAACCTGGACTTTCAATACTGAAACAGCAAGAGGTGAGTCCCACTCACAGCTGAACTTTAGCAGTTTAGCAGCTCTGAATCCAAAACCCTACACCCTCAACCCTAAACCCTAAACTCCCAGCCTAAACCACCAAGGAAAAGACCCACATCTGCCACGGATATCCCAAGAGCTTTGGCGCAAGATTTCCTCGGGGTTGAGCCCAGCACGCCTGAGAGCGGACCGCACCCCTTAAACCTTAGGGTTTTTGGCTTAGTGAATTTAGAGCTTAGGGTTTAGGGTTTAGGGTTCAAAGTTTAGGGTTCAAAGTTTAGGGTTTGCATTTAGCTGTAATAGGGCGCACTTAAAGGTTCATAGATCATAGGGACTTCGCGATAGTCCCGACTTTGCACCTGACTCATACGAACCCGTGAACCTCCAGCTACAGTGTTGGTTTTTGGGTGTATAGTGGGCTGAGGGTTCACAATGTTTTGCCATGGTCATCACCAAATCCCCTAAACCCTAAACCCTCAATCCTAAACCCTAAACCCTAAACCCTAAACCCTTAACCCTAAACCCTTAAGAAATCCAAGAAAGGCATGCCGCCAGGCTGTCGTTGTGGGTTCAGCTATCAGGCGCATGTTCCGGGTTTGGGGGAAGTTGGAATCCCTATAGGGTTTAGGGTTTAGGCTTTAGGGTTTAGGGTTTAGGGTTTCGTGTTTAGGGTTTAGGGTTCAGGGTTCAGGGCTTAGGGCCCCCAAACTCACTGCCAACGCCGCAGCTGCAAAGCCACGCAAGCCAAAGTCAAGCTGCGCTCGGCAAGGATGTGTATCCGGGCATTTCACACAGCTGCGCTTGCCACGCACACCAGAAGGAAACGGTCAAACGATGTCGTGGAGCGACTGCGGCAGCTGCAGCGACCCGCGACGAAGCAAGCTGTGCAGCAGGTTTTGGCCCCACATCTGTCAGAATGGTCGGCGGGTCCCGCGCAGATTCGGCAAGTGTTACAAGAGCTCAGAGCTTTGCAGCGAGCCGATTTGGTGGGACCGGTGCTAGCAGTGATGCAGGACAGCCATCTAAAGCTGCGACTCCCAGAATACACGACTGCAATCAGCATGTGCTGCAGGGCCAAGCAGTGGCGGCTGGCGCTGGGGCTCTTCGATGGAATGCGCACATGCAGCATTGCTCCAGATGTCATCAGCTACAGCGCCACCATCAGTGCTTGCGAAAAGGGTGGGCAATGGCAGATGGCGCTGATGCTCTTTGACGGTATGCAGAAGGCCAAGGTTCATCCTGACGTGATTAGCTATGGTGCCACCATTAGCGCCTGTGAGAAGGGCGGACAATGGCAGCAGGCGGTGGCGCTGTTCGACGGAATGCGCAAAGCCAAGATACTCCCTACTGTTATCAGCTACAATGCCACCATCAGCGCGTGTGAAAAGGGCGTGCAATGGCAGTTGGCTCTGGGGCTCTTCAATGGAATGAACATGGACCAAGTCTATCCCACGGTCATCAGTTACAATGCCACTCTTAGTGCGTGTGAAAACGGCGAGCAATGGCAGCTGGCGCTAGGGCTCTTCGGCGGCATGCGCGCAACGAAAGTTGATCCTGACGTTATCAGCTACAGTGCCACCATCAGCGCGTGTGAGCAGGGTGGGCAATGGCAGCTGGCACTGGGCCTTTTCGATGGCATGTGCGAAGCCATGGTTGAACCCGACGTCCTCAGCTACAATGCCACCATCAGCGCCTGTGGACAGGGTGGGCAATGGCAGCTGGCGCTGGGGCTCTTCGACGACATGTGCAAATCCCAGGTTGATCCCGATGTCCCCACCTACAGTGTGATCCTCAGTGCCTGTGAGAAGGGGTAAAAGCCATCTCCCGACCCCAGAGGGTCCAAATACCCCATAGTCATGGTTTTAGTGGGTTCTAAAACCATCAATATGGGGCCTTTGGACCCTTTGGGTGACGGCAAGGAAGCTCGCTCAGGGATCCTCCCAGCGCCTTAGCCCTCGCTGCCCGACTCTACGCCCAATTCGCTTCTTGACGTCCTTGTCTGGCGACACCAAAGGCTGTGCAGTTGATTGTCTAGGACTTAGAGTAGAAGGGAACCCCCTTTAAACCAAAAAGGGCACCCATTTTATTCCCAGGTTACTCCTGGGTTTACTTGTGTGGTCCTTGGCTTGCAAGGTTGAGGTTTAGCCTGTGAGGATTCGCTGTCGTTTTTTCACGTCTGGGAATAGAGCATGGACACGGATGTTGTGGAGGACGTTACCTCTGAGAGTATACTCGGACTACTTATATAAGCCCCAACAAAACCTATGAATCCGAAAAATCCCTCTGACTCTTTCCCCTAAAAAATAGAGCTTCAAAGCGCCAGGCCTGGTTTTTTTACGCGAGATTCCTGGGCTGATGGGTGATCATGACTCGTGGCTTGGACCTGACACCGCCTTGTCCGCAAGAAGCGGCATACGGCGCTGTTCCAGAAGTAGGCGGCGCGTGTCGACGCAAATTTTCTTCGGTGTGTCGACCGTGTGATCTGGATACGGCCACATTCTTCCATCTGCATCATGGGCTTGGCAGTTGCCTACATGCCCGTGGCAGAGCACAAACCCTACATCATTCACCAGGTCGGGCAAGGCCAGGGCAGTCTGAGAGACGTCTGATTCCACAATGCGCTTTTGGGGCATGCTGAAGGCACCCATGTCGCTGACCACTTGCCGGATGAATGTGCTAGCAAGCTGCCTCTGGAGGTGAACGCTCAATCCTAAACTCCAAAGTCCAAACCCAAACCCCAAATCCCCTCCCCAATTTGTAGGAGTGCCCGCCGAGGGACCCTGCATGCACGCACTAACTTCTTGCTTCTGTCTGCGATGAAGAGGACATGGAGGAGCGCAAACTTTCCGCTGCTGTGAAGAGAGGTCCTAAACCCTGAACCCTAAACAAGTGGTTCCCGCTCCACCACTTAACCTGTTAGCCATGTTTGAACACTACGTGTCGCAGCTAAACTGGCATCTATGGAAATCTTGGGGTTGGGGGGCCTGGGGTTCCAGGGCTTGTTGCGTTATAGGGTGTCTGGTGCGGGGGTGTGTTTGGTTCTGCGGGTTGGTGCGGCTTTGGCAATTTGGGGGAGGTTCTCTCGGTCGGTCTTGCACGTCTGGGGCTTGGGCATATTCCCGCTGGTTTGTTGTCGTTGTGCTTGGCACCTTGTTTGGCTATGTCGGTGTGGTGCTCAGCATCAGCCAGGATGACTGACCGTTTGAACATCCTCGAAGCCCGTAAGCCCTCGAACTCAAACCCTACAAGCCCTATACCCTAAACCCTAAACCTCAAGCGCTGTAAGCTTAAGCCCTACAGACACAAGTCTACAAATCCAAAGTCAACCTGCCAAGCCTAAATGGCAGGCCCACTTCCACGTCGGTTCGGGGTATGCGTCTTGTTTTGGCAATGAACTACAGGGGCCAAAATGGTTGCAAGTTGTATTTTCGGCCTCTATGCGCCTTACGTTAGAATCAAAGCTAATCAGAACAAGCAATTACATACTTTTTTGTTTTGTCTACTAGGTAGCTAGGCCCATACAGTTACAAATACGTTGTTTATATCTATTTTCTATTCGATCTACTTGTTTAATTTGTATATTAATTTGCTAGGATGCCCAGTAGTGCCCTTATTCCCTTTTTGGTAGGTTTAGGTTCCCTTATAAACCCCTTGGAGCAAAAAAGGGCACCCTTTTTCATCCTAGGTTACTGGGCAACCCAGTTTGCTTATTTCTAAGAGGCCAAACAGCATGGCACAGCCTCTTTGCCATGTCGTGGAGCGACTGCAGCAGCTGCAGCGACCCGCGACGAAGCAAGCGGTGCAGCAGGTCTCTTACTGCTGGTTAGCAGGGTTATATGGGGAGGTACCCTATAGAATCCTTTAAAAGGTACCCTATTCAATTCCTTAAAGGGCTACCCTTTACGATCCCCTCAAAGGGTATATACAGGGCCCTCATTCCCTCATTCCATGCTAACGAACGGTAAGGTCTTGACCCCACATCTAGCAGAATGGTCGGCGGGTCCCGCGCAGATTCGGCAAGTTTTACAAGAGCTCCGAACCTTGCGGCGCGCCGATTTGGTGGGACCGGTGCTAGCAGTGATGCAGGACAGCCAGCTAAAGCTGCGACGCCCAGAATCTTTGTCATAGGTGGGTAACATTTTACATTTTTAAGGGTACTTAAACCCAATAAGGAATACAAATTTGAATTTTTAATACTATCCCAACCATGAGCTAGGAATACACGACTGCAATCAGCATGTGCAGCAGGGCCAAGCTCTGGCGGCTGGCGCTGGGGCTCTTCGATGGAATGGAGAAAGCCAAGGTTGATCCGAATGTTTCTTGGTTTAGGGTTTCGGGTTCAGGGTTCAGGGTTTAGGGTTTAGGGTTTAGGGTGTCCAGTGGTACCCTTTACCCTTTTTTGGGTTTTGGGTTCCCTTATGAAGTAACAAACCCAAAAAGGGTGCCCTTGTTTTAGTATGGTTACTGGCCTACCAAGGTTTTCAGCTACAGTGCCACCATCAGTGCATGTGAGAAGGGCAGTCAATGGCAGCTGGCCCTGGGGCTCTTCGAGGGAATGCGCAAAGACAAAGTTGATCCAAACGTCTTCAGCTACCTAGTAATAGAGTAGGTAACCTTTAACCTTTTTGGGGTAGTAGAATCCCCTTACAATCCCAAAGGTTAACCTTTAATTCACCCAGGTTACTTGACAACTAAGGCTACAATGCCACCATCAGCGCTTGTGAGAAAGGTGGGCATTGGCAGTTGGCGCTGGAGCTCTTCGACGGGATGCGCCAAGCCGAGGTTAGTCCTGATGTCATCAGCTACAGTGCCACCATTAGCGCGTGCGAGAAGGGTGCCCGATGGCAGCTGGCGCTGGGACTCTTTGACAGCATGCACGAAACCAAGATTGAGTCTGATGTCATCAGCTACAATGCCACCATCAGCGCCTGTGGACAGGGTCGGCAATGGCAGCTGGCGCTTGAGCTGTTCGACGACATGTGCAAAGCCACTGTGACAGATATGCTGCGCTAGAGGAGCCGCGTGGTTTCGGGACGTTTCGGGCTTATTTCGGCCCTGCGATACGGGAAGTGGTACTGACCTCATTGAAATTCAGTACTCTTAGGCAAGCCCTTCCATAGCTATAGCAAGTACACCAAGGGTGCCTTTGTATATACCCCCAATGGTCATCCAAGTAAGAGCTCTTGTTGGGCTGATTTTGTTGGCCTTGGGGTTTAGGGTTTTTAGGTTAGGGAAAATAAACCCTTAACCCTAAACCCTGTAGGGTTTTAGGCTTTCCAAGCGACAATCCGGTCAGTCGAACCCTGCTTTTGCCCTGAACCCCTAAAGTGAATCTTCTAAACCAAGAGGCCCTGAAGGCCTTGAGACCCCAAACCGAATCGTCTGCTAGTTGGGACGAAACCCTAAACCCTAAACCCTAACCCCTAAGCCCTAAACCCTAAACCCTAGCCCCTCAACCCTAAACCCTAAGCCCTAAACCCTAAACCCTAAACCCTAATCGTCTGTGGCAGAGGAGCCGCAGCGGATCTGACAGGAGGTGCCTCGGGGACGAAATGAGCCCTAAGAGAGTTTATGGTTCATATACCTTAGTAGGAATTGTGGTAGTGTAGGGTATATGATCTCAATTTTAGGGTTCATGTCGTCTCCAAGGTGGGGGACTGGATTGCATGAAGGCGTTTTGGGGTTTAAATCGCATCGGCTTGCAGGCCATTGGGCTTTGGGTTTAGGATTTCGGGAACCCCTAAAAGCGCTAAGTCGTAAAGTTGCAAGCTTGTGAGGATTGCAGGCCCGAAGCTTTCTAGGCTTAGTGTTTAGGGGTGTTGAGGGCTGGGGGTGCAGGAACCCCAAACCCTAAACCCTAAACCCTAAACCCTAAACCCTAAACCCTAAACCCTAAACCCTAAACCCTTAGGGGCTTCAGTGACCGCAAGGAAGCTCGCGAGCTCACTGCTTGTCTCGGCGCCTTGGCCCTTCGCCGAATCGCTGCCCGATTCTGCGGCAACTTGCTTCGTGAGGTCCCTCTCCGGCGACATCTTCAGTTACTTGTTCTGTTTTGCGCCTATTTGTACTTGAAGCTTCGTGTGTTAGAGCCAGAACCCAAAACCCCAGACCCAAAACCCTAAACCCCCACAACCCTAAAACCGTAAACCCCCCAAACCCCCAAACCCTTAAACCCTAAACCCCCCAAACCGTCAACCCCTAAACCCTGAAAGGGTTACGTCATTCCTCCCAAGAGGGACTCGAGGAGGAGGAGGGGTTTAGGGTTTAGGGTTTAGGGTTTAGGGTTTAGGGTTTAGGGTTTAGGGTTTAGGGTTTAGGGTTTAGGGTTTAGGGTTTTGGTTTTTGGGGTCAGGGTTAAGGGTTTAGGGCTAGGGTTTAGGGTTTAGGGTTTAGGGTTCTCGCTTTGAGAGAATGCTCGGAACTACTCTGGGCAGTCCAGGAAAACCCAGTTGCCCTTTTTTTTTGGGGGGGTCTCGGTTCCCGCCTAAAGCAACCAACAAATGAAGGGGTTTTTCCCTTACTGTAATATATGGTTACTGGCCTACCAAGGACTGACTTGGAGGTTCATGGTACTTATTAACCAATTGTAACTGTACTTATGACCCACTTATGAGCCCCTAGTATGGTTACAAGTACAGTTATAAGTACAGTTTGCATTGGTTAATAAGTACCATGAACCTCCAAGTAACCCTACACCCTAAACCCTAAACTCTAAACCCTAACCCCCAAACCCCAAACCCTAAACCCCAAACCCACCAAGGACGTAAGGACGCAGGGCCTGGCGGACGGACTTTGAGATTTGCGGGCGCTGGGCGTGGCTGTGGCCTGCCTCCTCCGGTGTCCAACGGAGTACGAACTTGTGCCTTCAGGCTCGAAAGCTGGGGTTTAGGGATTAGGGTTTAGGGTTTAGGGCTTAGGGCTTAGGGTTTAGGGTTTGGGATTTAGGGTTTAGGGTTTAGGGTTTAGTGTTCAGGGTTTAGGGTTTAGGGCTTAGGGTTTAGGTTCAGGGTTTAGGGTTTAGGGATTAGGGCTTGTGCAACAGAAAAGCCCTAAATCCCCCTCAAGCCACGAGGTGCATCGCAATCACAATCTGGGCCAGGTCAAGGCTCATCTGGAAGAAATCCGATCTTCGGGGCTCAAGGTTTAGGGTTTAGGGTTTAGGGTTTAGGGTTTAGGGTTTAGGGTTTAGGGTTTAGGGTTTGGGGATGCTGACGAGCCATAGTACCCCTTGACCCAGGCACAGAAGGGGAACCAAGGTAGGCTGCAAATCTGAAGACGCAAGACCGACGGCTTCTCGCCACGGCCTCCGCACGAAAGAGCCCAACAGGATTTGCACGTTTAGGGTTTAGGGTTTGGGGTTTAGGGTTTAGGGTTTAGGGTTTAGGATTTAGGGCTTAGGGGTTTGAGTATCTCAGCCCTGAGGGTTTTAGGGTTCAGTCTCCAGGTCTTGAGGCTTCCAGGGTTTAGGGTTGCATGCTTGAGGGTTCAGGGTTTAAGGTTCAGGGTTTAAGGTTCAGGGTTTAGGGTTTAGGGTTTAGGGTTTAGGGTTTAGGGTGGCAATCAGAGTCGGTTGCTAGAGAAGTAGCCCTCCGTAAGTGGGCTCAGCTGCAGATGCACAACCCCCCCAAAGCTGAGCTCGAAACCCGACACATTCACAGACAGCCCCAGAACACTAAACAGTACTAGTCCCTAAACCCCAGACCCTAAACCCCAAAACCCTGGACCTGCACCCTAAACCCCAAAACCCTAAACCCCAGACCCGAAACCCTTATAAATCCCAAACCTCTCTAACCCCTGCGAGCATCCCGATCCCTGAAGCGCGCAAGGATGTCATGAGGGTTTAGGGTTTAGTGTTTAGAGTTTAGGGTTCAGGGTTCAGGGTTTAGGGTTCAGGGTTTAGGGTTTAGGGTAAATAGCCCCTGAGACTGAGATGGCGTGGCCCTAAACTCTAAACCCTTACGTCCGCGAGTCGGGTGTTCAGGCTTGGGTTCGGGATCTGCTGGGCGGGGCGAGGGGGAGGGGGCGGGGGCCAGGGTTTAGGGTATGGGGCGTAAGGTCTAGGGTTCGGGGCTTGGGGCTTAGGGCTTAGGGCTTATGGCTTGGGGCTCGGGGCTCGGGGCTTGGGCTTTGGGGGGGATTCGGGGAGTGAGGCTGAGGGAGTGATGGCTTATCTTGCCTTCGGGTTTTGGGTGTGGGGTTTGGGGTTGCTCTGGCTTAGCACGCTTGGTGATGTGGGTTGTTTGACTCTAAACCCCAAAAAGCACCCGGGGTTAACTCTAGCGACAGCCAAAGTAAAGCCTTGGAACCCAAACCCTAGACCTCTTCGACCCCCAGCCCTTGACCCTCAGGCCCTGAACCCGAAACCTTGCGTACCCCTACACCCACTCCCCGGACCCTAAACATACACGCTGAACTCAACCTGCCTGGAGTCGAGAGTCTCAACCCAAAACCCGTAAGTCTAACATTCGAGATCCCGAAACCCTACTGGAGGTTCATGGTACTCAATAAGTCAATAACCAATTATAACTGTACTTGCCATTGTACTAATAACCATATTAGGGCACTTAAGGTGCTTACATGTGGGTTACAAGTACAGTTATAAGTGGTTAATAAGTACCATGAACCTCCAAGTAGTAGCCTAAACCCCTTGAAGCCTCAACCTCCTCCCCCCCCCCCCCCCTTACTTGGGCGCACACAATGAGGATCTCAGCAGGGTCAGACGTTACGATTCAAGGCGCGACGGCGCCGGAAGGGCCTGCGAAGGTTAGGGTTTAGGGTTTAGGGTTTCTTGTTTCGGGTTTAGGGTTCAGGGTTTAGGGTTTAAAGTTTAGGGCGCTAGGGTTTTCGGGTTTTAGGGTTGAAAGGTTTTGGGCTTGCGGGTAGGTCTTAGCCATTGAGCTGGGCTGGTCGAGATGTGAATTAGCAGGTTTAGCGGTTAGGGTTTGGGGACTGGGGTGTAGGGCTCAAACCTTGCTAGGCCTGGGCCTAAACCCCTCAAACCCTGAACCCTGAACCCCCGAAGCCCTAAACCCTAAACCCTACCCCAAGGCACCTCAGAAACGCCTGGAAACCCCGCCCTCTAGAATCTTGCCATGGTCTAAGGGTAGTTACATGATCCCTGAATATTTTTCCTTACCTTCTTGAAAGGATTTAGGGGATTAGGGTTTAGGGTTTAGGGTTAGGGTTTAGGGTTTAGGGTTTAGGGTTTAGGGGATTAGGGTTTAGGGTTTAGGGTTTGGGGGAGTAGGGTTTAGGGGTTACGGATTAGGGATTAAGGTTTAGGGTCCTTTACCTTTTTAAATGGTTCTGATGTATGGGCCCTTGGGCTGCCTTTGGTATGTAAGGAGTACACAAGGGGTCGCCTTTTTAGGACCTATAAACAGGGACCATGTAAGTGCCCTGAGATTCTAGATTCTGAAGAACCACAACCTAAAATCCTAAATCCTAACAAACCTGCAAACCCTAAACCCTTAAGTTTAGGGTTTGGGG